TCATTAAGTTCTCTCAGACACCTCTAACAACACCCACGCGAAATGAAGGGAATATAATAATGTAATATAATAATTTGCCTATGGTTGTACCACGATCGGTATAATGGTTAATTCCATGCCACCACACACCACCACACGCTATAGTGCACAAAAGTAACGTATAATATCTTTATGAAGCTTTGCTTTCATCTTCAGCTGTACATCAGACAGTTCTGGGGTGGACACGAAACACCTGAACCGCTTCTAAATACACCTACGCTGGCAATACTGAGAATATGCATACACTTTGTGTTACACTAAGAAATATAAATTCCAACATCATTATTCTGTTTCAGACAATTGAATCCATATAAAACTAGACAATTTGTATTTGTTATCCCTGTGAAGCGCCTCAGTTGGAACAAGACATAACCGTTTTAGTAGTTTAACTAGGGTTGCCAGGTGTGAATTTTGATTTTACCCAAACGTCAAACATTTTTTCTTTAAATCGATATGACTTTTAGGATTTTCACCCTTTTACAACGTTATATCGTTTTTCACTGCTTTTTGCCATGCGCCACAAAGTGTTCAATGAAAAAATATTAAAAAACATTCCTAATTACACTGGTATACATTACTAATAATTGTTATTAACTTAACCTAACCCAATAATGAAGTACCGCGTTCGTGATTCACTGATCATCCCAAAGGTTGACTGGTAGAGAATGCTACTAGCATTAAGTACCATAATGCCTTTTGTACCTTATTTTAGTCAATAAAAACGGTTTAAATAAATAAATAAATTCCTTTTGCTTCTATTTTTTTCTTTTCCTTATTTTTTATTATGTATCTTCATTCTCGTAACCGTATCTTACTTTATTATATACCCCTAGACTATCTAGGGGTATATAATAAACTCACTACTAAAGCTTTCCACACACAATTACCCAAATTTTTCCAAGCCCATTTCACTTTTGTCCGAGAATTTAATTTATTCAAAATTTCGCGAATAGATATTTTTTTACCCAAAAATCCGCAAAAAATACACAGTCTGGCAACGCTAAGTGTATTCGAGCCGAGACTACATAATAAATTTCAGTCACGTTTTATATACTTATCGTATGCATTTTATGCATAATACTTCATACTTTTTTTCGGTGGCAATAGAATTTATTTTTAGGTATAAATCATGGAGTGACGGTGAAGTCCCACGGACAGCATCCAACTTATGACGAATGACTTCTATTATTAGAGTCAAACGAAACTCGTTCAAGGTAATTAATTCATTAAGTAATTCAGGAGTACTTCTGGAACTGGTTCCGTTCGGATTGCGCTGGACTTATGGAACTTGGCTGAACTTATCCCGACTTTACTAACTTATGCATTTGGAAGTTTTCCTCCCAACTTCAGATGTGTTTAGGATACTTTGACTATATTCATTATAGCAATATTAAAATACTGTACTGGTTTCGCTTTAAATTCTTTTCTTCTACATTCTTCACGATTCTGGAACGCGTTTCTTGATACCATTAAGTTTCTTAATGGTGTCAAACTAAACCGTCTTTCAAAAAAAACCTTCACGCTCACTTTTTTACTTTATTCGAGCAGTAAGTGCTTTATATTATTCTCAATTTCGTGTATAATATAGTATATGTTATATATGTGTAAGTATATTTGTTATTTTTTATATATTTATTCGTTTATATATGTAATTTTACTATGTATGTATATCAATAATTATTAGAACCGCATTCGAGTATTCTGACACTTCCCTATGGTTTACTGGGAGAGGATGCTTTTAGCATTAAGTCCGCCGTGTACACATACTGTAGTCTCTAGGGAAAACCTATATATATATATATATAGGTTTTCCCTATATATATATAAACTGTCCAAAATATGTTCGAATACTACATTTACTGATCATAATTCAGTTTCATACAAACGACTTAACAAAACTACGCTAACCTCGTTACTTGTTTCGGATAAAACTAACGTAGCGGGTCGTCCAACGTCCAAGTATATTTCCGGAAACATCTACAGCGGAGTTGGAACGTACGTCCGAGGCAGGAAGCAGCGCAGACTCAACTATCGACTAATATACATTGCATATATGTGTGACTACATATAGCAATAGGCTTTTATTTATTACTATTTTTCTGACTACTACTTCATATGTATGGATTTCAGAAGTAGAAAAGTAATGTATGCTGCTGAACTTAAGCCTCCCCCTTGGGGGTTTTGCCAGAAGTTGTCACATTGGCAGGTGGATTGGCAACCGCAGTTAGGTTTTAGAGATGTGTTAAGAGGGACGCTGCTGCCCATCTGTCGCTCTCCTTTAGTAGATCCTTATGATACCCACAGGGAAAGAAACGGATGGCCTATTCTATGCCAGGACCACATGGCTATTGAATACTAGTAATAATAGTTTAATAACTCAAATATGGGTTTTACAGATAGTAAATTTTAGGTATAATATGAAGAATTTTTATTTTTAAAATAACACAATTAACATGAAAAGGTTTTGCTGGAAGAAATCTCTTATTAGAGATAAGCTCGCCTTTGTACATTATGTTTAAAATGAATTGTGATTAATAGTATGTTTTGTGTACAATAAAGAATAAAGAAGATGGTATATAGTATTTATTTATTTATTTATTCATTAAAATAATTATAACATAATGAGAGTAAAAACAAAATTAATGTTAAGTATGTTAGTAGGTGAAATACAATACTTCTAGATCACGTATCAAAACAAAGCATATATCAATTTTTAACTAAGACCTTGTAAGGTCTTGGCGTGAACTTACAGGGTACAGAGGAATAACACCTGAGTCTTTAGGAATGGCAACGCATGGGGGGTATCATGGGTGAAACAGTATACTCTGTTATGTCATAAAATATATACAATCACCAAAGGGAGACTTTGTACAAAAGTCGATTGCTTGGGTACCTCTGTCGCATTCGTGTTTCAACCGTGAAGCAGTTGTGTTTGCATAGCTGTGTTTTGGTTTGAAGGGTGGAATATGGCGTGAATTTACAGGGTACGGAGGAATAACACCTGAGTCCTCAGGAATGGCAACGCATGGGGGGTATCATGGGCGAAACAGTATACTTTGTTATGTCCATGGTACTGTTCATGTCTATAGGCGACGGTTACCACTTTCCATCAGGTGGACCGCCAGCTTGTTTGCCATTCTAAGTTTTATAAAAAAAAAAAGGTAAAACACCGCAGTGGAAGCGTTTTATAAGAAAAGATTCTGTCTGTCGAGGAACAAGTACACATATATATATATATATATATATATATATATATATATATATATATATATATATATATATATATATATATATATATATATATATATATATATATATATATATATATATATATATATATATAAACTGACAAATATAAAAATAAATATTGTTATGTCTTTTATTGTTCTCATTAAGAGCCATCATATTTTTTTTATGTATCGCCCATGTATTAACGTCGTCTGGTTATAATTTTATTGTAGGTTTTAGTAAGAAGAAATATAAAAAGGTTTGTAGACTCTCCAGCAGCTTCAATCAAGCACGTGAATTTTAACTTGAGTCAATCGTTGTGAATGCCTATAATGTTTGATGCTTAAATCAAACTATCTTCTATATCTTTGATGCACGTTTTACGTAAAATTTTATTTTCAAGCGACTTCAAAAGAAGGAGGTTCTTTATTCAGTATTTTTTTTTATATATATTTTTTTCTCGTAACTAGGTACGTCAGTTACAAACCGATTTTGAAATACTTTTTTATCTAAAAGGAAATGGAAATTTTATCAAAATCGATTTAATAGTTTAGTTTTAAATCAAAATAATTGCTTTTTCAAATATTTTTTTATGGAACACAATTTTAAATGCATGATAGCTCAGTGGGTAAATTATTAGTAAGAAAATAATTGAGCCCTAATACTAATTTCCTTATCCTCGAGTTAGGGATATACTGTATTTTAAATGAGAGACCAGTAAACATTTAAATGAACAAACAAGTTCATTTAATTTATGCAACGAACATGCCTATCCCAAAAGTACATCAAACAAATCCATTGAAAGTTCTAGAAGGAACCAAATAATGATGCTACGAAAGCGTCCGCAACACCACTTCTAATTTCTCGAAGTTTCGTTGGCAAATTTGTACGAATACGAGATAAACTCTCTCGTGGAAGTTAATTTCGTTATTTGTGAATTCTTTAGAGTAGCGAGAACTTTGCGCGATGTGGATTCTTCATTAAGTTATGTGAATTTATTCTGGATGGGCCAGACAGGCTCGCCCGCTTTGTCTTAATTATTAGCATTCTGCTTCTCCGTGGGGATAGTTTTGAAATGCCTCGTGAATGTAACCTAGATAGGTTAAGCCAACATTAACGGTCTTCATCTGGCTTGAAATTCTACGAAGCATAGACTAAAATTACTTTTTTAGCGAGCATCATAGTTCCGTGATGTGCTACTCCGAATTGACAAATAATATATTAATTTAAATTTTACCTTTGTTGGCTTAGATCATAGACATGTAAAATATGTATGACTCTCACTACTCTATTAAGGATTCTAGTAGTGAGTATTTTTATTCATTTGTTTTATATAATTACTTGAATACTTTAAAATAATATAGTTATCTCACACAGTCATACGTTATGTAAAATTGTTAAAGGAAAAAGTTTGTTAGACATCTATGCAACACGAAAAAATTTTACACCATAGTTAGATTTTTTTAGTATACCCATCCATATCGATATTTTGTACAGCGACAAATTATAAGTAGTTGTACAACACTATGAACATTAATTTACTGCGTCGATATGTCTAGGTGGTTGCATAAATTCTATTTCCAGTTTCGTCCTTATAAGGACAGTGTCGACTTTTAAATAACGTAGTGATACTGTGAAACCGATATTAAATGAGCATTCCTATTTTAAAATTCAAATTTTTAAATGCAGAATGCTACAAGCGCAAACGATAACGAGTTGTTATTTCTGTGCAGTGCTCGCGGGCGAGACCACGGAGCTCTCGAGCCGGGCCACGTTCGCTGACCCCTCGCCTACTAAACTTCCAAGTACGTCTCTTACTTAAATAACAATCGCCACAATAAGATCTCACTATCTATGAGTACTATACGAAATACAAGAAAGAACCTTAACATTAAGGCCTGACCACACGTTGAATTATGCCTTGAGTCAGTGTAGCTAAATTACTGTAACATCCATTGACTATTCAAGACTGATCTGCTATTGGCTCCAAAAATATATAATTTAAATAGGTTTAATATGAGACCATGCAAAAGCTTTATTATTTATTTATAATTTGTATAAAATATGTGTATAATGTGAAGGTATATTTATATTATACAGGAAAAATAGTTCTCAATTCGTATTGAACAAAATCCACTTAACTGGGGAACTTTCGAATTACTTGCAACACTGAGAAATGGTCTGTTTTATTTTGTTAAAAAAATATATATATAACAGTATATTTAAAAAAATAAAACTAGTTGTCTATTGCCCAATAGTTGACCCTTTTTTAACACTTGGCTTCCATTTAAAGTTAGATATTATATAACTAGCCTATGCCTAGCCTTATTAACTATGTTAAACGCGTAACTTTATGGTCACAGCTGATTTCCGTGGCAAAATTTGACAGCTGTCCCAAGCCGGTCCTATTTTCGACGATTAATAACTTTCGTCAAACATGCACAGCGTGGCGGATTAATCGAAGTTTACGATCATTTCGACAGCAGACAGACAAAGTTTTAGATATCTAAATTACAACAGAGACATAAACTTACGCCAACTTTTAATGATTTGTGTTGTATGTTTAGTTAGCCTAATTGTTGTACTTATATTATAATTGTGAACACAATTTTAAATGATCAAATTATTCTTAAGAACAAATTAAGGAGATCTTATTCTGGACGAATTGTATTTTACATTTACTTACCTATTTATTCGTACGTACTTACACTGCACAATTTTATATACCCTTATAGCACAATCCTATTTACTAACCGTATAACGATCCGAAAGGTCCACTGCGTGGTTTGATAAGGAAAAAATAATTAAATAAAAAACAAAACCCCCGACAGGTCACAGTAGTACAGTTGAGTGTTAACAATAAAAATGAATGTGATTCCGATAAAGTTAACGCAGCGTGTGTGGACGTTCGGAAAATGGAAAATATTAAAATTGGTGTTATCCCAACATGTGCGAATTCCCAGAACCCTGGCACAATATAGATTCCTATCACTGCCATCCGATTTTTGATGAATAAAAAATTTCAAGTAGGTAGGTACCTAAACCCATATCTGTTTTCAATATGTCAACTTTTTCCAAATTCAAATTTAGATTCCAAATTCAAATTTAATTTGAAATCCACCGCATGTATGGTTGTTAGTTTTTTGTTTAGATATTTAATAGAGATATTAATGACTGTATAATATTCAAGATGCGAGATCTCTTTATGTCAAAATATTATACATAAATCCATGGTAATGAGGTTCTTAATCGAGTCCCTCGCCGGCAAAGCCTTGCCGTGACTCGGAAAGTTTTAATGGGACAGCTAACAAGATTGAATGAATCCAAGAAAACATCACATTGTAACTAGAAAGATATCATTGAAGTACATACTCTGTGATTGGTAACCCTGTTATTGTTCAATCATAAATAAAAGAAAAAACTACGTAAATATATATTTTATCTGTGGTTCATAATAACATGACTGTGTCGGTGTAAAATCCTGTTACATAGTAGTATTAATAAATCATTAATTACACTGTGGTCGTATGACATATAGCAATTAAAAAAAAAATTATGTAATAAAAGAAAAAAACAAACGAAGAAGTTATTAAAGAAAAATTAAGGAAGATATGTTTAAATGAGACTTAAATTTAAAAACTTTGGTAGAAAATAAGCAAATTGAAAAAATATTATGTATTCTAAGAACACATTTCCATTTTTTTTTTTATTTATATTTAATTCTTATATTTAAATCAGATATGATTGATGTGGTTATGGAGAATAGAGACAAGTAGAACTATGTCACATGGGGAAAAGTAGCAAAAATTATCAGTTGTAAGTGTTGAAAATAATAAGCTCAGTTGGATGAATAATAAAAATGTATGTATTATGTGAAGCTTAGAAGAGAATAGCAAACTGTCATAAATTATTATATTGTTATATTTTTGTATTTAATATTTTGATTATAGAACATTAATAAAAACGACTATAGAGTTTTTACAACATATCCTCCCGTAATCAAAATATATATATATAACAAAAATATTACTTAACAAAAATACTGGTACAAAAATAACAAGATAAAAGGTTACCCAATGCCCATATTCGTCATACATCGTAAATGCTTAACATGACCTAAAGGTTTCGTCAAAACATCCGCTGGTAGTGAATCAGTGGGCATATACCTTAATTCTATAATTTTGTCATTTACTTTTTCTCTAATAAAATGAAACTTTACGTCTATATGTTTAGTTCTATTGTGATGGACTGGATTCAACGCAAGTTTCTGGGCACTCTGACTATCAGAAAAAATGACAACATTTAGAGTTTTACCTGTTATTTCTGCCATAAAACGTTTTAAGAAACAACCTTCCTTAGCAGCTGCTGATGGCGCCATGTATTCGGATTCCGCAGAGGACAATGCGACTGTAGGCTGTTTTCTTGATTCCCAAGAAATAGGGCCTTTTGCGAGTTCGAAGTAAAATCCTGTATATGAGCGACGACTAACAGGACAGTTTGCGAAGTCAGCATCTGAGTAACCACGCAGTATAGAGGAGTCTTCAGTTTTTCTGTATGAAATACCAACATGCTTAGTTGCACTTAAATATCGAAGACATCGCTTAGCAGCATTCCAATGAGATTGATCATTATTGGAGTTAAATTGGCTTAAGTAACTCACTGCGTAAGCTATATCAGGCCTTGTATTTACTGCCAAATACATAAGACAGCCAATTAATGCCTGATAGGAACATTTAGACTCACCTGTACTAGGTTCCAGTTTCTTTTGAGCAAGGGGTGTTGAAACCGATTTACAGTTTTGCATTTCAAACCTTTTTAACAAACTTTCAATATACGTACTTTGACATATTTTAATAATATTCTCTCGGCAAGATATATTTATGCCTATGAAATAATTAATAATACCAAGATCTTTAAGTGAAAAATAATTTTCCAACTCACATTTGAAGTTGTCAAATGTTACTTCATTTTTATACATAATTAAAAGATCATCAACATATATGGCTATAACCAAGGAGTCTGTATTCGAAATATTTTTAGTAAACACACAAGGTTCAGATGGTGTTTGAGTAAATCCAATAGTTGACAAAGTTTGTTTTAACTTTATATTCCAAGCTCTCGGAGCTTGTTTCAAACCATATAAGGCCTTTTTCAATAAGCATACCTTATTTTCATCTTCCTTTCTCTGGACAAACCCTTCTGGCTGATCCATATAGACTTCTTCTTCCAAATCACCATATAAAAAGGCAGTATCTACATCCATATGACGTATTTTGTATCCTTCCTGTACTGCTAGTGCTAACAGCGTTCGCAACGATGAGGAGCGTACAACGGGAGAAAAAGTCGCATAATAGTCTACACCTTCTATTTGTGTAAAACCTTTAGCTACTAAACGAGCTTTATATTTGACTATATTTCCTTCAGCATCTCTTTTCAATTTGTAAACCCACTTAGATGGAATACAAGATTTAAAGCTTGGTTTTTCCACCAATACCCAAGTTTTCCTCTTTAATAAAGCATCATACTCATTATTCATCGCAGTGATCCAGTCATTTTTATCATCTCTTGTAATTGCGTCACGATTACAGATGGGCAAAGCACCGGGTTTAAACCCGGTGCTTTGGTAAAAACCCAATAAACACCCATAAACTCCCATAATCACCCAAAAAAATAGGTTTTTACGTATTTTTTTGAAAATATGTAAGTAATACCAATAAATTATTTTTATAAATTGTATTGATCAATTCTACAATATTAAATAAAACGTTAACTAATAATATTTCAGGAAATTTTAAAAATCTATATATAATAAAATGAAAGTAATTAATTTTCAGTGTTTTCATGTTGCAGTTGATCAACATGTTGGCCTTTTGCTTCCCGTAGATACTTTAAAATTTCTTCATAACACCTCGTTCGCACACATGGCCGTATATATTTAAATTCTTGAGCCACTAACAGTCCGAAATACTCATTTCTTTTATCCTCTTCTCCATAAATTAAGCATTTAGAACAGTTTGTTTCTTCTTTCAGTAAATTTTCTTTTACTTTATCCTCGTTTTTTTCTTTGTTGCGACGACGCTGGGTAAATCATCTGGACACTGGGTCTCACTATCGCCAAATATATTTGGAGATCGGCTTCGGCTACGGCTTGGCAGACATTTTTTTCTTTCTACAATTTTAAATTAAATTTATTAGAATAAATGCTTCGAACACACGCGATCTAAGTACCTTTTGTGTTTATTATACCTTACCTACCTAGGTATAAAAAGAGTACTTACGTAGATTTTCTTTTATTAACTGTTTTATACGAAGATCTTGATCTCTCAAATTAGCATCCATTTTACTTCCAGTGATTATCAACTAAATTAATAATCCACAAAGTATTAAATAACGTTTTTATGAAATATTTAGCACAAAAACAATACCCTTTAAATATCGATCGTCAGTAACTGTGGCTGACTTACCTATATTCTAGCAAGCAGGACTGCCAGATGTGAAGGGGAAATCCCCAATAAATTGTTGCATGTGACTGATGATGTGAGCATGTTCGTTTCATAATAAAAATGTTGCCAGGTAACCAAAAAGTCGTATGTTTTTGTGCGAATTACGATCATAATCTTTACGATCGTACATTAAAAAATAGACAAATAATAGTATGAGTACGATTTAAATCGTATATCTGTCAACCCTGCTAGCAAGACAGCGACAAAATCACGTTGCATAACAATGTAGCCCAAGCTTATATCTTATGAAATATACGGAAGAGATACGGACTTAGAAAAAACAGAAATGTTGTTCTTTGTGGAAGTCATTGATGAAATTCTATGTATTTTAGCCCGCAAACTTTCTTCAAACAAAAACAGCGCCATCTAGTATCGAGTTCTGTAATTATCTCTTTGTTTATGGATTTGAAGTAAGACCGCCACGCATGCAATACATTATGACTGGGGATTCCCCTATTCGTCGACGCTGAATATGAGGCGACGACAATCACTGTCAAACGTGTTCACTATTACTCTGACTCTGGTAACGTGACTTCCTGGTAACGTGTTAGGTAGGAAAAGCAGTAAAAAAGTGCATATTAAGGGAGCAGATTTGAAATAATATTTATACTTAACAAGAAATAATTAAAGGTAAGTGGATTTTTGAATGATACAATTATATCATGATCACTTAACAATTTTAACTTAAAATTAGATGTATTATTACAAGCTTTTATTTAGCTTGCGTTATGTAAATAAAAGTATGTAGGTATGTTCGTATGTTGATGCAATTATCCTCAATCCTCAACCGACTGGGATAAAATTTTCCATACACGTTTATTTTGGATGATAGTGCATAGTTAGCTGAGAGTCGTCATTGGATAATAATGGTGGATAGCCTAAGATGTGTACTAGATATTTATTTTTAACATAATATGCGTAAGTACCTAATCGAATTAAAGAAGTTGCTGAGAAAAATACAGAACAATACGATAATAAACTAGCGTCTGCGTTTAATCCTCCGAGGAGATGTAATTTTACAAAGGTTTTTTGTATTTATTTTATTATTTTTTTAATAAATTTATTGTAAATAACAAGAAATAATCATTGTAAAAAAATAGGCACTCTATTGTTGAATTTTCGTCAGACCAACTAATCATCGTTCATTTTTTAGGTTCAATGGGGAGACCTAAAGATTTACGCATATGGGAGCACTACCGTACTTTACCAAACAAGTCTGTTTCTTGCAAGCTTTGTAATAAGGTCTACAAATTCAGTAATGCTGCCAAAATGCTTCAACATCTTATCACTTGTCCAAAATCTCCAGAAACATTAAAAGACTCTATGAAACTTATAAAAGATAGCTCGTCCAAAACCAAAATGTCTGGACTGTCAGAGATAGAGACAAATGATTCTTTTATAAGCCCCTCGTCGTCTGCTAACACTACAATAAATGCTGAGTTTCAAGACACCGATGATCATATAAAAACAGAATTAGCGAGAGCTATATTTGTAACAGGGACGCCATTATCGATGGTGCAACATCCTTTATGGATACAATTTTTCGAAAAATTGCAACCAAAATTTAAAATACCTTCACGTAAAGCTTTAGCGACAAAATACTTAGATAAAATATATAGAGAAATGCGTTTTGAGTTAAATGAGGAACTAAATGCTTGTAGTTACTTACACCTTCAGTGCGATGGCTGGTCTAATTTAAGAAATGAAGGAATAATAAACTTTCTTATATCAAAACCTCAACCTGCATACGTTAAAAGTTTGAATACAGAAAGTAATCCTCACACTAGTGAATACCTTAGCCAAGAAGTTGAAAAAGTAATGAAAGTGTATGGAGCAAATAAGTTTCTTGTACTTATTGGCGATAACGCTAGAAATATACAAAAGGCATTCGAATTAACAAAACTCAAATATCCACATGTTGTTCCTCTCGGTTGCTGTGCACATATCCTTAACTTGTTGTGCCAAGATATTGTAAAGATACAAGAAGTAACTGTGTTTATTATGCAAGCCATAAATATAATAAAAACTGTTAAAAGGAGTCAACGATTAAGTTCCTTGTTGATAAAATCAAGGCAGGGTGAAGATTCTACACAAACACTAAAATTGCCTTGTGCTACAAGATGGGGAAGTCATGTTACTTCGTTAAAAAGTTTGAAAGCAAATAAGATAGCTTTGCAAATATTAACAGTTAGAGAAGATGTGGTAATTTCAAGAGATATTAAAGATTTAATTCTAAGTGATGATTTCTGGACGAAGACAGGGGAATGTATAAGTATTTTGGAACCAGTCACTGAAAGCATATTTTACTTAGAGAGCGACCAGAATCGTTTGCATCGCACATACATTACATTTAGAGATGTACAAGCTAAGATACGTTTTGCATTAAATGAGATTTCGACATTGAGCGAAGAAAGCAAACAGCAGATTCTAACATCAGTATCTTCAAGATGCAATATGGCAATGAGGCCAATACATTTTGCAGCATATATTCTAGACCCCAGGACTCTAGGAGTCGAACTTACTCAAGAGGAAGAACTTAAGGGTATGGAGTTTATCTACAATTTAAGCCAACACTTAAGTTTGTCAAATGTAATGGCAGATTTGGCGTGTTATAAAGCTAAAGAAAACTTTTGGGCCAGAGGATTTGTATGGAGCTCATTAGATAGCATTGAGCCCCTAATATGGTGGAAAGGTATTTGTGGTTCCACTGAGTTAAGCAAAGTAGCGATTCGTATTCTATCAGCTCCCTGTACTTCGGCAGCCACTGAGCGTTCCTTTAGTATCCAAGGCTACATACATAATAACAAAAGAAATCGACTTACAACTGAAAGAACTGAAAAAATTTCATTCATTTGTTATAACTGGAATCTTAAACATAAAGCTGAATGCGAGGACATTCAGTTTAATGAAGAAAATACCTTAGAAGCTTTCATTGAGCAAGTAAATGAACATAACAGTTTAGACGAAATAGAGCCTATCGAACCTATACAATTCATCGCTTGTAATAACTCTGAATCTGACAGTGATTGACTGTAGTTTTACATTTTACTTTCATCTCTTTCTTAATAAACTCAAAATCAAATTAAAAGTTTTTTATTCTGTAGGCTGCATAATAATATTGTCTATGTCCAGTATAGTGGACGTCTTGCGGCTGAGATGACGATGATGAAGTACAAAATCATAAACACCCAAAAATTTGGGTGTTTATGGGGTTTAAACCCAATAAACCCAAAACACCCGGTTTTTACCCACCAGACTTTAAACCCACCCAGGTGGATTGCCCATCTCTAGTCACGATAAGTCAAAGGATCACCGCACAGCAGATCATCGCTTAGAGTATTATAAGAAAAATAGTTTGGAGGTTTACGTATTCTTTCAGGGTACCTTCTTCCAGATCTATCATCATTAGAATTACTTGAAGAACCCGATGACGGAGATGAAGAATTAATTATATTACCTGAATGTACAGTCTCCATTCCTTGATTGCGTACCTCTTCAGTACTGACTGAATTGTGATCTTGTTCCTCAATTGCTATATCACCACCTCCGCCAATTGAAGGAGAAGATAATGAAGCTTCTTCTGAGGATGAGGTCTTTGAAAATAAGTAACTTGTATCACAGTTTACGTCGTCTGCCTTTTCAATTGTTAGTCCTGTAAACTTATCTTCAAAAAAAGTTACATCTCTCGATTTTACTAACTTCCTAGGTGTTTTCGCACTTCGGAAGTAGTAACTTCTAGGATCATCTGAATATCCTATAAAAATATGTTCAGTTGCTTTCATATCTAGCTTAGTTCTTTGGCAAGAAGGAACATGAACTAAAGCTCTGCATCCGAAGACTTTAAGATGAGATAAGTTAGGTTTAGATCCGTACCATATCTCAAAAGGAGTTTTCTTATTAAGAGCACGATGTGGCGACCTATTTTTCAAATAAACACTAGTCGCTACAGCATCTTGCCAATAAGCTTTCGCAAGTGAACCATGAGACAACATGCAACGGGCTTTCTCCATAATGCTACGATTGCATCGTTCACTCACTCCATTTTGCTGAGGGCTATAGGGCATCGTAGTTTGGTGCTTGATACCATTTGAAGCCAAATAATCAGCAAATTCATTGTTGACGTACTCAGATCCATTATCAGATCGCACTATTTTTATTTTTGAGCCAGTTTCACGTTCAACAAGAGATTGAAAAATAGAAAACTTTGATTTGACTTCTGTCTTAGAAGATATAAAATAAATAAATATAAACCTGGTAAAATCGTCTATAAAAGTAATAAAGTATTTATTACCTTGAAAAGAGGTTGTTTGAAATGGTCCACATAAATCTGTGTGAATTAATTCTAGTACTGACGTAGCTTTCTTACTTTTCAACCGTTTAAAAGGTTTTCTTGCTTGCTTACCCTCCACGCAGGGTATGCATGGTTCCTTGTCAACCTCCTTGTACTCCACTCCAACTGCTAGACCTTTTCTAAGTAGATTCATACCTATGCGACAGAGATGTCCTAATCTCTTATGCCAAATTTTAAAGTTTGAGAGTTCAGAGTGCACATTATAGGCTGAAACATTTTGTGGCAAGTTAATCGAACAATCTAAATTGTACATTCCACCACTAAAAGAACCGTGTAAAATAGGGTTATTAGCAAAAGATACATCACAAGATTTATAAAAGTTACAACCATTTTTATCAAAAACAACAGAAAAATCTTTTTCGACAACTTTCTTTACGGAAAGTAAATTACATTTTAAACTAGGAACATAAATAACATTACTTATTTTTGATACTACAGAGTTGGTATTAATTGATACCTCACCAATACCCATAGCTGGCAATTTTTGTCCGTTTGCTACAGTTATACTTCCACTATCTATAGAACGATAATTTTTTAGCCATTCACCGTGTGAAGTCATATGTCCCGATGCTCCAGAGTCGATTATCCATTTATCGGAGTTCTGGTTATTTAGGGATGACATAGCCACTTCAGACAAGCAATCTGTTGTATCTTCTACGTTTTGTTCAATTTTCGACATATTTACCTTTTTTACCTTTTTAATAGGGCAATTAGGGCTCTTATGTCCAGGTTTTCTGCATTTAAAACATATAATAGGTTTCTTCGTCTTCGCTTTTAATTGTGAAGTACGAAACGCTGCAACATCATCATTCTTAAGCAACTTTGACATTTCACTCAATAACTTCGTCTTAACCATTTCTGATGTTACTTCGAGGTTTGAATGTTCTAGAGCCATTACCAGTGGATCATAACGAGATGTTAGTCCACCTAATAAAATCGCAGCAAGAGAGCTATCTTCAATTGTTTTGCCAATATCTGCCAAATTCTGGGCAGTTGTCATGACTGCATTAATGTACGACTCAATATCGGTAAAATCTGATAGGGAGTACCTGTACAGCTGTCGCTCCAATGACAACTTCCGACCAAGACTTTGGTCTTCATATGCCTTTTGTAATGCATACCATGCCTCTTTCGCTGACGTTGCTGTCCTCACATGCGTCATTGCCGCACCATCCACAGAAAGACAAATTTTTGACAATGCTTTCTGGTCATTACGTGCTTTTACATGGGAAGGTGTATCGTCAGACGATTCATAACCATCTATTGTATTCCACAACTCTTCGTGCACCAACAGCATTCTCATTTTGAATTTCCATGCTGTATAATCTTCACGTTTCACCAACATTTTTATACAATTCAAATTCATCCCAGCCATTATAAATGAGTAGAATTTTCTTTTAAATAAATTCCTTACCTCGTGCTGATAAGGAATGTTGAAAATAATAAGCTCAGTTGGATGAATAATAAAAATGTATGTATTATGTGAAGCTTAGAAGAGAATAGCAAACTGTCATAAATTATTATATTGTTATATTTTTGTATTTAATATTTTGATTATAGAACATTAATAAAAACGACTATAGAGTTTTTACAACAGTAAGCTGTAACTAACAGTTCCAAATCTCTTCAGAATGTGCGCTAGAGTAGCAAAATAGTATGAAATGAATTTAGCAGTTGTTAATGGAGTGAAATGTGTTGAGTTAAAATATTTATATCTTTATTTTCTAAATATAAATGCATAATTAAAAGATTAACAATGATATTTAACATAACATTAATTATCATGTCATTATTTTTATATTTTAGGTTTTTATTTTGGAAAATAGACCAGTAAAAAGCGAAACTTTTGCTTTTCTTGTTTACTTCCTTTAAAATTTACCCACCAGCAGGTTGCTGTAGCGCCATACCAATTTAACACCTTTTCACGGACACTTTTTCATACAGAGATAACACATGTATGAAGGGCTGAGGCCGTTCAAATTTGATTTATTTAAAAATAATATAGGTTGCTGTAGTTAAACAGATTCGTGATAATTCGCACAGAAACGTATGTATGAAGTGTATGCTATTAGTACATTGAATTTAAAAATTGTGCATTTAAAATGCACAATTTATAGTTAGTAGTACATTAGTAGGCACATATTTTATATTGGCAAAAATTAATCTAAACAACCATTTAGATAGATTAATTTTCGATTTTCGTTGACAGTGCCGACTCTTTAATAATGGCATGACTTCTTGCTATATAGTGTTTTAACTATGGCAAAGGCAACAATTTTGTCGGTTATATTTTATTTATTTAAATGCATTTTTGTACTTTTCCAATTACTAAAACAACTTTTATTATTCAAAAATAATATAATTTTAACAATTTAAAATCACCATTTATAATGTCCATTTTTGTTGAACTCTTAAGACAAAATTCTCTCTGACGATAAAAACTGTTAACGTAAGTAGGTTGGCATTGTTTTAAAGCAGAAAGTTAAATGAGTTCCAGTAAGAGGAAGTGACAGGCCCTAATTAAGATGAAAAAAATATTAAGCCCCCGCATTATCTGGGTACCTTCTGGTTTTTGTAACTTGCTTTGAAAGTTTTATAATAAACGCAAGCGATTTTGCTGCGATGTGATCATGATGGGAACATTAAACATCATAATAACGCAAGCATATTAAATAGTTAATGATAGATTAGAAAAGAAAAACAACAACAACACGTACTTGCACAAAAATTATATTTAAACCTGTCACCAATGAAAAAAAATTATTGATGATCAAGTAGAATTGAAATAAAAAAAAAAATAAAATAAAAAAAAATATGCATGCATTTATAGTCTTTTGTTGTAATAAACATAAAAATTCTACTATACATGCTCAGCTTTCGTCGAGCATATTAGAATCCAAAGGGAGTAAGTCAAAAAATCTAAAATGAAGCTATTGATGGCTGAGTAATGTAGGAAGAACGAAGCGATGCCCAGTACTGTCAGAAAGATTTCAAAAAGCATAGCACTCTCTTCCTTTCATACAAGATCTAACTACCCAAATGTAAATATCTGTAGCTTTGATTTTTCCACTATCTGAGAACTGAAAAGAAGTTCTTTGCTAGTCGCCTAGCGCATTTCGGCTTTAGAAAATATTTTTCGACTGATGACGGCAAAAGGCGTGGTTATAAAGAGTCAGTTCACAGCTTCTGATTTTGGTTCTATTATATTAAAATGTTTTTTGATAATGTTTTTTTATACCACTGAGGTGGCAAACAAGCATATGACAAAATCTTGAAATACACAAGTTATAGATATTGTACCAAAATAAAACAATATTTTTTTTATAACACAACGGGCAAACAAGCATGCGGCTCACCTGAAGGTTATGATGTCGTATCGGTTTAGAAATATTGCTGCTGGAAATTGATTCTAAAATTTTATTTAATACGTAGGTTATCACGCAGGTACGTTTACACAAAACTACTGTTTACAGAAAAAATTAAAAACTAACAAGTATCTAGTGGAACTAAAATGAATTCATACTGTTAATGAAGTGAAAATAATAAAATATGCATAAACATATATTTTGTAAGGTTCTCGCCAGTAGGCAGTGAGGTTTTATCACGATTTTTCAGCGAAATTAAACCACAAAACAAAGGAGAGATTTGAGGGTTTGTGAATGGTGGCTAGTCTGAACACGTCGTGCGCTCGGCGGCTTACAGCGATGCGCTCTCAAATAAAATGTCTCACTCTAAATGATATATTTATTAGGTCTACAGCTATCTATCATTTTAGAATATACTATTTGGGGAGGTTTAATTTTTTATTTTTAGAATAAACTAGCGAGTTTTATTCCAAAAATAAAAAATAAAATCTTTTACGTGTGGATTTTAGAAGTAGGAAAATAGAATAGACGATTTCTATTACCAGGATAAAAGAAAAAGTTTTCAAAATAATCTTCAAGAATATTTAATTTGTGACTTGCATCGAATTTAGTGCATTAGTTTTTGCATGATGTTGGTACAAACACACACATAAAGGAAATGGGGGAAAAATAAAAAAAAAAAATTGTTTCGAATTGTATTGCTACATAAATTGAACGTTGTGCATACATTGTCTAGTATCTATATTATTAATAATATTTTTTCTAAACTATCTTTTTGTCTGCTACTTTGCACGCGTGGATTTAAAAAGTAAAAAAATTCTATAAAATACATCTCTTCTAAATAAAGCGTCAACATTAAAGATATAAGCAGTAGTCACTTACCATCAGGTGAGCCGCATGATCGTTTGCCCCCTGTGTTGTAAAAAAAATACCAGATTTTAAGTTACACCTTTAGGAATACAATTATGAATACCGCATCCAATTTGTTACAGTACTTTTTACGTGATAACATTATTTTAATGCATGATAATGGAATGGTAACCCTGCCTACACTATCGGCATACACTGGCGACGCACCAGTCAGGGGGGATAGATAAGGATGAAACCAGATCAAGTGATTCTTCGTAACGAATTCAACAATAAATAAATACAATTGTTTCCAGAGAGAAGTACGTCGACGTCAAACTAACCCTATATTCCTATAATAGGTGAATAATGTCCCCATTACTAACAATCCCCTTTCGGAGGGAAAGGAATTGCTAGTAATGGGGTCTAATGAACCCATTGCTACAGCTTATCAGGTCGACTTCCATGCGGTTCCCCTGGAAACCATCGTGGTTAAATCTAGTGAAATTCGTCACGATGGGCTAACCTGCTTTTATCCTCACCTATCATCCCTCACTGGTGCCCCACCAGCGAATACCGATAGCGCAGGCGGGGTCACCATTCCATTATCACCCATTAAAAAAAAACAATACCCTTTCCCCCAATATTGTGACATTAGGCAAAATAAGGGATTATTTAAACATCCCCAACTCGGTTTCACAGGCTGTGATTGATCGGTACCGCTGATGGATGTGACACTATTCAGCATTGTCATTACACAGCAGTGATAAATTTCACGTATGAAATTACATATTTCTGACGTCAAGCTATATTTTGTTAAATCTCAGCAACACAATGAAACAGCTTTCACTGCGGCAGAATTTATTAAATACACTCATGGTAATCCCAACATGAGATTAACAAAGGGTTTTTATTGCGCTACGTTTTAAAAGAATGTATGTATGAACGGGGTAGTTTTTTTAAAGGTTTTTTTAAATGGGTGATAATAGAATGGTAACCTCGGTTGCGCTATCGGTATACGCTGGCAGTGAAAAATAGATTGGTGAGGATGCAATCAGGTCGGTTAGCCCATCGTGACGAATTCTACAAGAATTAACCGAGATGGTTTCCAGGGGAAATGGCGTGGAGGTCGACCTGATAGGGTATTTTTTTTTATACAACTTAGAATGGCAATCAAGCTGTCGGCCCACCTGATGGAAAGTGGTAACCGTCGCCTATAGACATGAGCAGTACCATGGACATAACAGAGTGTACTGTTTCACCCATGATACCCTCCATGCGTTGTCATTCCTGAGGACTCAGATGTTATTCCTCTGTACCCTGTAAATTTACGCCATATCCCACCCTTCAAATCGAAACACAGCTATGCAAACACAACTGCTTCACGGTTTGAAACACGAATGCGACAGAGGTACCCAAGCAATCGACTTTTGTACAAAGTCTCTCTCTGGAATTGTTAGATCCTGACAGATTGGCTACACCATATACCATATGCCACACTCACTACTTCCTATGTAACTGTGTTAGGCTAACTGGAAGAAATCTCTTTTAGAGATAAGTTCTTCTTTGCTAACTTGTTGTTATTACTGTATGTTTTAGTGCAATAAAGAATATATATTAATTAGGGACTGTTAATAACGGAAACTAGCGGTTCTTTTTCTAAACGTGGTTTTGATTGGAAATTATTGTGGTAATATTTTGTTGAATTCATCATAATGGACCAACTGATCCGCTTTCATCCTCCTCTATCCTCACTCGCTGGTGTCCCGCCATGATATACGGATACTGCAGGCGAGGTTACCATTCCATTATCATCCATCGAAAAACTATTACAGTCTTCCACGTGAAATAGAAAGATAGTTTAAAACACTTAAGGAAATACATATTTTTTTCTGTGTCTAATATACCTATATATCAAATAATATACATATATCCATATTAGTAAGCTATACGAAAAGATCAGGAAAAGGCATTACTTTTACCATGATAGCATCGAAAGTTGTTCAGCAGTTTTCAAGAACTTTGAGCTAGATAACAATATCTTGACCCAAACGTACTTTGTTGCCTTTACTGTGTTGTTGCAAGGGTAAAAAAATAATGACGCCGCGTTGTATCAAAATAACAACTAGCCTTTTAAAGAACCATTGAGAATAGAACTTATATTTTTGTTTTCTAAGAGCTTATCTGTTACTTTGTGTTTTTACCGCATATTTTTTTTGCACTATTCGGTGACGTAATATAGTATTTGTATTTTATGTACATACAAATAAGAATATTTTTTATACAAGTATATCTATTTTTAAGTGGATATTTTTTTATGATTCTACTATCCATTCATAATGCAATCTCAGCTGAGATTTCGACTGTAACTTTTTACAACAGTTGTTTTACAATTATTAATTTGTATTAATACAGACTGACAAACAGAATAGTTATTTAAATTAATTATCAAATCAGATCTATTATTATGTACTGTGGAAAATATATGTATACATTACTTTTTTAGTATTTTTATCGAAGTGCGCAAAAAAAACGGTGTGGAAAAAAATTTCAAAGCGAATGAAAATCAAAAGCATAAAAAGAATCCACGAAGCAAATACGCAAAGCAGAACATAAAGTCTTGCCTTGCGTACTTCCAAGCAGTTCAAATTTCAAAGCAGATACCAATGAAAGCTTTTCGCATGGGTACATTCCAGACATGCTCAATGGAATTGAAGTCGGCGGATTACGCAGACTACGCTAACACCCAGGTATTTTAGCGGAACACGTTTCCTACCAATCGCGCAGTAAACGCAAGCATTGTTGATTTGAACAACAGAAAATCTCCAAATATCTCGTCAACAATGTCGTCGCGGTATTTCTCAAAATGATAAACGAGATCTCCACACAATGTTTACAATAACTACCTATATAAATATATAAATATATACGGACAAATCACACAGATTGAGCTAGCTTCAAAGTAAGTTCGAGACTTGTGTTATGGGATACTAACTCAACGATACTATATTTATAATAGATACATATATAGATAAACATCTAAGACTCAGGCCAATTAGGAAAAGATCGTTTTCCATCATGACCTGGCCGGGGATCGAACCCGGGGCCTCCACGTCGCAGGCAGGCGTGTTGACCGCTGTGCTATGGAGGACGACATAATATAATTCATACATTTTCATATGTATTTTCTGTTTTTCTTTTTCCTAAATTCCGTCCTAATATTTAGGTAATAAAGGAATTCATGACATTCGTAATTATGAACATTTATTTAGTGTTTATTTTAATATAATCTCATTATATCTTTAAGTTTTGAAAATATACAGAGTACATGTTTTTTGTTTTTCAAAACGGAAGGCCTATACAAAACGAGAGTTAAACGGGGGAAGATTTTTTTTCACTGTGATTGTAACTGAATGAGTGAAATTTTACTAAACTCTACCAGATACCTGAACACTGGCGTAGAACATACTGTACTTTTATTCTATTACGTATTTAATATTATTTATATATAAACGAACATGATTTTCAATCACAGAGTGCGACCGCACGTTCGTGAGCCGCGGCGGCACTACCAACGGCACCTTCCACGCGCCGGAGCTAATCAACCCCGGAAACCACAGCAGGCAGTGCTTGTACACGTTCCTAGCGGCGCCGGGGCAGCGCGTGCTCGTCCAGTTTCGCACCTTCGAGCTACGAGGCAAACCACCAGAGTAAGTGCTACCAGCCAGTGACATGTATGATGTACCCTTCCACATACTAGAGCTGATCTCAAGCAATTGCCTGTATATAATTCTGGAACTAGACATATAGAAACAACAATTTTTCTTGTAATGCCACTCAGTCTGATTTCCCTTTTTTAACTAAAGATTATTTTTTTATACAACTTAGAATGGCAAACAAGTTGACGGCCCACCTGATGGAAAGTGGTAACCGTCACCTATAGACATGAGCAGTACCATGGACATAACAGAATATACTGTTTCGCCCATGATACCCCCCATGCGTTGCCGTTCCTGAGGTCTCAGGTGTTATTCTTCTGTACCCAGTAAATTCACGCCATATCCCACCCTTCAAACCGAAACACAGCCATGTAAACACAACTGCTTCACGGTTGAAACACGAATGGGACAGAGGTATCCAAGCAATCGACTTTTGTACAAAGTCTCCCTGTGGTAACTGGTCTGGTGGTCTGGATTTCTGTAGTGAAAAAGTCATATGTATAAATTTCTGTAGAATAATAAAATTTGGGGAGCCATGGTACAAGAAATAACACCATTTTGTCGCCAGTAAGACTCAGAACCAAAACAAAACATTTTTTTTTCTCTTTTATAATAACAAACATATGGCACGAACAATGTAATGTACGACATGAATTAAGTGAATTTAGTTTTCTGTTCTGAATAATCCGTGATGTTATTGGTTCATGTCAGGAGAGTTGCTGACCTTTATTCCACTGTAATTCATTACATTTCTTTAACTTTACCCCAATCTCTTATCATTTACTATAGGGACACTTTATACAAAGTCAATTTCATTGATATTTTTTTTTTATGGGTGAAAATGGAATGGTAACCCCGCCTGCGTTAACGGGATATGCTAGCGGAGTGCCAGTGTAGGGTGATTGATGAGAATGAAAACAGGCCAGTTAGCCCATCATGATAAATTCATCAGGAATTAATCATGATAATTTCCAGAGGGAACCGCGAGGAGGTCGACCTCCCAGGTCCCAGGTGAGCCAACCAGGTCGGGTATATTGCTAGCAATGGCATTTTTAGTCTCCATTACTAACAATCCCTTTCCCCCCATTTCATTGATATTAAATCTGTTACATTACGTATTTGTTCTTAATGTAGGTCCTTGAGTAATTATTCTTGCATAGCCATGTTCCGGTGTGAAAGGTAAGACATGACAGTGAAACAACTGCGTACTATGACCCAATATTTTCATGTGATAAGAATTGAAAACGCGCCTGTGATACCTCTGGTGTTGCAAGCCGTCACGGCTTACGTATTACCATCGCTGTAAATAAAAAATATATATTATTGTAAATTGATATAACCATACATACATATCAGCATTTCTGAATAATTAAAGTTTACCAAAATAAAGTAGAATAAATAATAAGTGTAAGTAAAATAAGTTCTGAAACCCAACACTAACGCGAGTTATACTTCTGTACGGAAAAGCGTTATCGTTTCTGTTTACATTAATATCTCCCCCCTAACACATTTTTGATAGTTGTTTTTTTTTTCAGTGGAGCCGCAGTGGGGGAACTTCCAGCGTGAGTACATCACCCATCTCTTTTATTCCTTTCCATTCGTCTGTAAATTATGCGACGCAAACATGTTTTCTTTTCCGAGACATGTTTATGCTTTGTATTGACGTAAGAATCAAGTTCAGTTATAGCGGGCAACTCTGGTATTTGAAATTATATTTTCGGTAATACAGAACTAAAAAAAAATTATAATGTAGTAATTTGAAAATATAATGACCTGATGACGCACTTATTTTGGCATTTTTAAACTAATAAATATAAAAAAGAAAAAATTGATTTTTGTATGTAGTGGATAAATTAAAAAAAAATACTTAACCTATTTTAAAAATTCTTTCAACTGTAGAAATCTATATTGTCAGCGAGTAACATGGGCTATAGTTTATTAAAAAAAAAACGCGTAAAGCTAGTAGAGTATCTGGTAATATATATAATAAAAGAAGAAGAAATAGAATGGCGTTGCATAATGCACACGAGTTCGTGAAAAGTTTCCATGTAGGCAGGCCTTAATGAATACGAGGATTCGAGGATTTCCCAGAGAATTTGTTTTACATATAAGCATTAAAGTATAAGCGAAGTGCGATGTAATCCAGTGATTTACGGCAGACAGCTCACAGTTTAGACTAAATCTTTACTTAGGCTTACAATCCGCCCCTAATAAATATACGCAATAACATTCCATTAGAGCACATTCTGGAAATTAAGCATCGTTTATACAAATTGATATTCCAGTTTCAACATCTCCGTTGATATATTTAGAAAAATATATAAGACGTTTATTTTTATTTTTAGCATACAATAAGTAATCGCCGTGTAATCCCGGCATAGAATGGGCCACTCCTTTCTTTTCCGTGGGAGTCGTAAGCAGCTAAGAAAATTTTATGATTGAGGGATGGGCAGCAGCGTTTTTTATTAAAACATCACCAAAATCTAACTGCGGTCACCAATTCACTTGGCAAACGTGGCAACTATTTGCAAAACCCCTCTTATGGAGGAAGTCTATGTCAGCAATGGACTGGAATGTTAATGGCTGAGTATGGTATTAGTATAAAATATCAGATGGTGATGGAGTAGGAATACTATTACGTAGTATGCATAACCACTCGTTTCATCCCCAGGATGTTCTTAGAGGCGATTAAGAAAACAAAGCACCAAATATCAAGGCGAAGAGAAAGGAAACTCGAATAAAATCACCTATTATCTTATAATGTGTTGCAAATAAATCAATCTATATCTTCATGCCGGGTTCTTTAAAGGAAAGATTGAAATCTAGTCATAGATCTTCTGTTTCTTTGTTTTTTTTTTCACATTAATTTATATCATGCATGCGTGCCCCCGAATAGAGCTTACTTCATCGTTAAACAGTAAAAGATCAGTGTCATATGATGACACTTGTGATTGACACAGGTGCTTTTTTACTAATGATTATTATAAAAATTACTTACAAGCTTTCAGAAGCAAAGTGTCTATTTGTAATTGACAAATGCCACTTTAATTATTATGTTGTCATTCCCAATTCCCAAAAAATCTTGTTAAATCCATTTGCATATCTCTTTTCTCGTATACCTACATGCCAATTCCAAAAACTTGAGTTCTCCCTTTCTCCTAAGATTCGTGTGATCAAAATTGGTTTAAATTAAAATATCCCAATAAATATTCCAAGAGTTCAATCTTCATTTCAGATGTATGCACGAGTACATGGACATCTACTCGGAAATGGCGTCTCTGGAGACGGTGGAGCTGGTCAACTCAGCGTTCGGGGGCCGGTACTGCGGACCGATACCGCCCCGCCGCCGGGTCTCGCTGCACCGGGCCGTCGCTCTGTCCTTCTACACCGACAAGATGTACACACCACCCACACTGTTCACAGGCAACTACGAGTTCATCAACGCCTGTAAGTATTTTTTTTTTACTTTTTCCGTGCCTTACCATGAGAATAAAAACTAAATATATTAAGTCCGCGGTGTCGATCTCGGCATAGACTGGGCCATTTCTTCCTTCCCCCTGGTTATTGTAACAGGCGACTAAGGGAGGGCGAGGGATGGGCAGCAGCGTCCCTCTTAAAACATCTCGCCAGCAGCGTTCCTCTTAAAACATCTCTAAAGCCTAACTGCGGTTGCCAACCCGCCTGCCAAGCGTGGCAACTACTGATAAAACTCCCATTATGGGGAAGGCTTATTTTTAGCAGTGGACAGTTAAACATCAGTTAACGGCTGAAATAATAATAAAATAATAAAAAAGATTGAGTAAAAGTGGTACTTTTCTTTGTGGGCACGACAATGCTACTAAAATATATCGTCATGTCATTCGACCTATATATATTAGAAGGGTGATTACTAGAGTCTTATATCATTTCTCGTACTCATGCTAAACAGTCACCAGAGGGAGACTTTGTACAAAAGTCGATTGCTTGGGTACCTCTGTCCCATTCGTGTTTCAACCGTGAAGCAGTTGTGTTTGCATGGCTGTGTTTCGGTTTAAAGGGTGGAATATGGCGTGAATTTACTGGGTACAGAGGAATAATACCTGAGTCCTCAGGAATGGCAACGCGTGGAGGGTATCATGGACCCGAGAGAACAGTATACTCTGTTATGTCCATGGTACTGCTCATGTCTATAGGCGTCGGTTACCACTTTCCATCAGGTGGACCGTCAGCTTGTTTGCCATTCTAAGTTGTATAAAAAAAAATAAAAAAAAGTATGAGACCATGAATTCTCATCAGTGTCATCGCACATACCTAATGGTTATTCACAGAAGGGATCTGTAAACATTTTAAACATTCTGCGCTCGTATATTCCACCAGATTGGACAGAAGGCCGTGCCTATAAATTTTTTGCAGTTTTATCAGCCCTGTACCTACTAACGGGAAGGGATGTTGCTTAAATAAAGCCCATTTTCCCCGTACAAATATGCTTTGTTCTTTTTCACTTTACCAAAGAGATTCTATAGAGATTAACATTTTTACAAACATTAAATCTGTCGGAATTCGGAATTACAAATACGGCTGCTTGGTACTGTTTTTGTAAAAAATACCTATCTACACTGATTGTGTTGTTAAGAAACTTTTTCCTCATTGAAGTCGGAAACGATATAAAAATGTCTTATCTATTATATTTTTATCAAATAAATAAATTTTTATATTTCTTTTTGCAATTTAGAATAGCAAACAAGCTGTACCATGGGCGTGACAGAATATACTGTGTCGCCCATGATACTTTTCATGCGTTGCCATTCCTGAGAATTAAGGCGTGTTCCAATGTATTAAAGAATATTTTTGAATAATATACAACATTAGTATATTCTTAATACAATGTACTTAAATAAAAGAAACTCCTTACTAAAAAACAATGCCTACATCGGCTGTTTTTGGTTCTCATCTCAGCAGTTTTACGACTGTTTTATTTATTTTTTGTTTCCATTTCAAACCATTCATGACGCATTATAATTATTTATTCCGGCTTAACTCACGTTTTAAATTCACGGATGCCAGACTGGTTATTCATGAGCCCTTATTCATGAGCGCGGTTCACAGCTACATAAGAAGGGCTTCTACGCTGGGACCACATGGCTACTTTAACTAATAACCACTATAATTAATACTATGGATAAAATCCACAGCGGACTTCGAAGTGGGGACTCCGGTGCCGAACACAATGTGTTCCTTCGTGATAGAGGCGAACAAGCGCAGAAGAGGGTTGCTGTTGTCACCGACGTACCCCGGGATATACCCGAAAGACATCACCTGCAACTATATGTTCAGCGGTCAGCCAGGGCAGCGGATACGGCTCGAGTTTCGAGACTTCGATCTGTTTTTCGGCGGACCTCAGTGAGTACCAAGATTCTGTTCTTGATTTTAGTAATATGGTATACTGTATCTTGGATTATATAGATCAGTGTTTCCCAACCTTTTTTGTGCCATGCCCCACTTGAACATTTCTAAAATTTTTATGCCTCCTAATAATAAAATTCTTATGGCACCGATGTCTACTCGTAACATTGCATTTAAATGGCCCAGAGCAAGAGGATTAAAATCACTTCAAGTTCATTTTTAATTGGCCCCCCTTAACTATCAAATTGCTCCTTTTGAGGCGTTGGCCCCGCATTGGGAAATACCGATATAGATAGAGTGTCGAGTCTCAAAAACGGGCCAACTTTTTGTTAGCTATTTCTCAAATTGGCCGACTTATTTTTTTATTAATGTTCTATATACTTACACGCATAATATATCTTGACGTATCTATATTTAATTGTTTAATAAATAAAATGAGTTTTTACACATTAAAAGGCGTAAAATTTATAAGACAAAATAAATATAGAAGTTATAAAGGAATCACTCATAATTATTTATCACGTAAAATTGTATGAAAACGTTGGCTCGTTTTTATCGAAACATTTCTATTATCCCCCTGAAAGTCTTAAACGCCTATATGGGTGCATTATCATTCACATTTGATCTTATGTTATAGACAAATTAAGATTATCGAGACAAAGAACAATCAGATGAAACAAGCTATTGTGTGACATTCATATAATCAACTTAACAAAACAGCTGGAAATCAGTCTGATTGCTGCCATTTTTGAGATCAATTATTTTATCGTTACCTATATTATCTATTCTTCAAGCTCTTTCATTTGATCTCATATTAGCAGCGTTGAAAAAAATTACACGATCCGCCATCTTGTTGCGGCGGCCATTTTGAAAATATTACAATATCCAGTATTGTTTTTTGTATCGTCTTTAGAGTTAAAGACATATGAAAATTTTAGCAAAATTGGAGGAACTTGTTCCAGTTAAGCTTGCAGGATTCGACCTAAATCTATTACTTATTAATATATAGTGTAAATTAATAAAAACTTGTAAAAATCTCAGCTGCCCATTCGACTGGGTGCGCGTGTACGACGGGCCCGACAACACGTCGGCGGTGATCGGCACGTATTGCGGCCAGCAGCGCAACCTGGTGCTGTACTCGAGCGACGAGCGGCTGCTCGTCACATTCTTCACGCTGCCGCGCTCCGCTAGCACGCAGAACCGGGGCTTCAAGGCGATCTTCGAGTTTTCTGAAAGTTTTGTTAAGTTAGGTGAGTCTCTGAAATAGCATAATTTTGATTTATTTATATCTTTACACATATTAATACATATATGTCTACAGGACAGACTTAAAGCCTGATGGCATTCTCTACCAGTCACCCGTTACGCTAAACAGAGATTGAGTAAAAGAGGGTGCATTTGTCTAACAAAATCAATTTGTAAATGAAATAAATATTTCTTTGTGTAACTATTCTATACAAACTAAAAAAAAGCGTAGAGAATCTATATTTATAGTCACTTTCAATAGAACTTAATGGAAAGGTAACCTTGTTTTGTTGAAATTATCACAGATACACTCTCCAAATTAAATTAGTGACGAATCTAAACATTCATTCAGTTTATCGATTTCTCATTTGTACTATTATTAGACATCAGGTCAGTTATTTGTCTGTTTAAGTTTTCATTAAATTCTATTGAAATAAACAATAAGTATCAAAACCTTTTGTGTCAGGTTACACGTTTGTTTGTTGTGAAGTACACCGCCCACGCTCGCCACTTCGGCGTACTTTTGCGGGAGACTCTAATTAAGTAACACGCACCGTTCGTCAACAAAGGATGCTATTTCTCACACTACTTACCTACTTTGGAAATTCAATGCTCGCGTACCGTATATACAAAGGAATTCCCTCCCCCATCGCTCTATCAAATGAGTTTCCTCGTCGACAAATATACAGCATTGTTTAACAAGTAATATATTTTCTTTCAGATTTTATAAGTAAACACGACGCCGAGCACATTAGAGGCTCAGAGTGCGACCAGAAGATCCTTAGTAAAAAGGAGTCCACGGGTTTCGTGTACCATCCAAATTATCCATTCCCCTATATACAAAAAGTTGTTTGTAGGTAAGTGTATTCATTTAAACATAACAATGTAACGAAAAAGAGATTACACGTTGAAAAATATGCTCGCAAATATAATCCCAGGCTGGATTTTGTTGATTTGCGTTGTGGTGAATATAAAACGCGATTTGATAATGTATAACAAGCCCGACTTCATATCCTGTATCTATACATATTAATTCACTAAGCTGCGATGCCAATTTGAAGATCTCGGTAGTGTTAGTATAAACATATATACATCTAGTTTTTTATACAATTTGGAATTTATATATATATTACTACAGATTTACATTCAATTATATTTACACTGATCAGAATGTTGTCGTATAAAACTTAGCGACAGAAAGCATATTAGCGACACAAAACTATACACTCTCTCACCTTCCGATGGTCGTGTAATCGATCCCTGCGTGATACAGTAGTTTGTATGTGTTTGTTCGGTCTAGATGTATTCCATGCAACTCTGTAAACTAAATTGACAGACCATTCTATGAAATGTTTTTAAAAAGTAACGTAAAGAAAGAGAATTTATTAATATTGAGCAAACATTTACCTAATCATAATATATTGTACTAGCTGTATCCCGCGGCTTCTTCCGTGGTCATATCGTGATGTGAATAATTTTACTAAAAAAATAGTTATTTAATACAATTTCCTTTAAATCCGACTTGTAGTTCTTGAGATTAGCGCGTTCAAACAATTTTTTTCGCTCTATATATTAATAAGACATTTCTTAGGTCTAATATATAATTCTTTGTTTTCAGATATTTTATATATGGTATGCAAGATTCACAAAATTTAGAAAGGGTGCGGCTAGAGTTTCAAAACTTTTCTATACCTAGAGGATTCAAAGCGAAACCGGAGTAAGTGTTTTAGTCTTTATAATTTTTTGTCTGATGTAGATCTTCTTAAACTTCTTGTATTTTTTTTATCTGTGGCTATTAGTATGCAGTTGTAACATGTTACTAAGCGGGGAAAATATTTTTATTAATGAGGTCTAGATGTGCCATTGCTAGTAACACACTCTGTACAGATTTGTATTGACGTAGTTACATAGTTTACTTAAAAAGTTACTAGATGGCGTTTTATAATTATCAAATGCAATAAATTAAATTAATGCAAAAATTAAATTTTGGATTAAATTCTGAACTAGTGGAAATAATCATGGTTGAAATAGTCATCTGACCCAACTTGCCTATCACCCATCACTGGTTACCATTGCATTTTAATCTAAATAACCTTGCTACTTCTACTTATCCCTTAAGACTATGAATTCTTGTCTGGTCCCATAACCTTTTGTTGTAGGATCATGTACGAATCCCCTAATAACTGTCACTGTCAATGAATGACTGATTGACATGACGTTTGAACTAATATAAATGTGATGTAGATACATCACATGCTCTGTGAGAGGGTTTTAATTTGATTGTAATAAGAAACAATGTCTTAAGAAATAAATCCATAATTTTAATAATAATCTTTTAATATAAAAGGCGTTAATAAGGTCACATCGCCTCTACTGGAAGACATTTTTGTCCTGAATTTTTTCAATCACACATTTAGCTTAAATTCATTACATTTGTTATTTGACACTACTTAAACGATTTTAAAAATTATTCTATTGCATTTCAGCACTTGCCCAGATGGTTACCTGAAGGTATACCTTAGGGGACAAGAAGCGACAGATTCATACGATAAGCACGACGCGGAGCTGTGCGGAGAGGGAGTAAGTGGTCCACCCGCCTTTCCACCACCGTTGGTGTCAGATGGGCCACGACTTGTGATGGTGTTCAGCTCTGGAGAGCTACAGGGAAGGGGGTTTAAGGCTAAATATACCTTTGAGACTGGTAAGTACCTTATTAATGATGTTTCTTTTTAATGGATGAAAATGGCATGATAACCCCGCCTGCGCTATCGGTATACACTGGCGGAGTACCAGTGAGAGGTGACAGGTGAGGATGAAAAGGCAGGTCAGCTAGCCCATCGTGGCGAATTCAATGTTTAATTGGTCGCGATAGTTTCCAGGGGGAACCGCGTGGAGGTCGACCTGATAGCAATGGGGACTAACTTCCCCATTACTAACAATCCCTTCCCCCCTATTAATGATGGTTAGCTCGTCCATCATTGTCATCGCGTGGCGTATCAAAATAATTTTGTACGTAAGCAAATTGAAAAGAGTAACTGTCGAGTTTTTTTCGAGTTCTTCTCAGCAGATAACAACATTTTGAACGCAGTAGTAGAATTATACAAAATAACGATTTACCAGAAGGTGACTTTGTACAAAAGTCGATTGCTTGGGTACCTCTATCCCATTCGTGTTTCAACTGTAAAGCAGCTGTGTTTGCATGGCTGTGTTTCGGTTTGAAGAGTTAGTGGGATATGGCGTGAATTTACTGGGTACAGAGGAATAACACCTGAGTCCTCAGGAATAGCAACGCATGGGGGGTAATATAGGCGAAACAGTATACTCAGTTATGTCCATGGTACTGCTCATGTCTATAGGCGACGGTTACCACTTTCCATCAGATGGACCGTCAGCTTGTTTGCCATTTTAAGTTGTATAAAAAAAAAGAACTCATAAATAAGTCTATTTCAATAAAGATTATTTCTAGACTATTCTATTTTTTTAATGACAACTGTAACATTAATTCATTGGGATAAAATGTATCTGGCGATAGAAAGTATTCAATACCTAGTATACAGTATTGTTTTACTATTCACCCTCTCATTATTGCAAGATTTTACCAAGTTTATACCAGAAGATAGGAAAAGATTATTTACCAAAATTAAACTTTAATCATTTACTGAAAAAAAGGAAAAAATCCTAATCCTTAGGTAGTGCAGTTATTTAACCTCACATAAAGTACTTTGTATTTAGTAGTTATTATTAATTAGTAATCGTTAAAGTTATTTTTTTATTAAATAAATAAATAAAATGTAAATAAATAAATAAATAAAAAATAAATAAATAGTTATTAATTAGTAATCGTTAAAGTTATTTTTTATAACTTACGTGTATAACTAAATATACTAAAATTGAATTAACTGAATAACACACATTCACTTATTTGGCGCCCAACACGGGACTCTTAATTAGTAATGGAGAATAGTTTAAAATGCGAGTATGATAGATAGAAGTAACTACCGTTAGCATGATAAGTCATAAGTCAGTCTGTTGATCTATTTAAGAGTGTTCATTATCAGAGGGAGACTTTGTGCAAAAGTCGATTGCTTGGGTACCTCTGTCCCATTCGTGTTTCAACCGTGAAGCAGTTGTGTTTGCATGGCTGTGTTCCGGTTTGAAGGATGGGATATGGCGTGAATTTACTGAGTACAGAGGAATAACACCTGAATCCTCAGGAATGGTAACGCATGGGGGGTATCATGGGCGAAACAGTATACTCTGTTATGTCCATGGTATGGTCCTGCTCATGTCTATAAGCGACGGTTACCACATTCCATCAGGTGGGCCGTCAGCTTGTTTGCTATTCTAAGTTGAAAAAAAAGAAAATAACAAAGTATGGCAATGTTGCGATTATTTATCAATTTTCAAAAATAATTGAAGACTTTTCAGTGTTTTTATTGATTATTTAAAAAGTGCTCTGATAGCGAACTGTCAATTTAAAAAATAATGTTTATGGTTTTTGAAAATTGACAGATAATTGCGACGTTGCCACACTTCGGTAAACAAGTTATGAATGCTCTTCTTTTAAGGAAACAGGAAGTTTCTTTACAGCTTGTTTTCCAAAATCTATTACAAAAATCTTATTTTTCAGTACTTTGTCAATATATTTAAAAATTACTAGTATAGTAACCTATTACCACTTCACGTCTTTAGAAAACTTTATGTTCCTTCTCTTTCTACAGAATATCGCGTACCGGGCACTGCAGCACCGGGCGGGGAGTGTGCGTTCACTTACCGTTCGGAAGCGAAGAAACGGGGAGAGTTCAACTCACCGCGGTACCCCTCCAACTACCCATCGCGCACTAACTGCACGTACACACTGGACGCGACGCCAAATGAACAGGTCACCGTGGTGTTCGACCATTTCAAAGTCCGAGCTGATTCCTGGAACGCCACCGCTGGCCTTTATGGGTAAGTGCCAGAGCATTTAAATTGTATATGGTACATTCTTCTTCAATATTTAGGATGACATGTTTTATTGAAATTAAACATTTTTTTTTTATACAACTTAGAATGGTAAAGAAGCTGACGGTCCACCTGATGGAAAGTGGTAACCGTCGCCTATAGACATGAGCAGTACCATGGACATAACAGAGTATACTGTTTCGCCCATGATACCCCCCATGCGTTGCCATTCCTGAGGACTCAGGTCTTATTCCTCTGTACCCAGTAAATTCACGCCATATCCCACCCTTCAAACCGAAACACAGCCATGCAAACACAACTGCTTCACGGTAGAAACACGAATGGGACAGAGGTACACAAGTAATCGACTTTTGTACAAAGTCTCCCTCTGGTAACTCTATTCGGATCTAACGAATGGACACTTTAAAATTGTATTTACAACTAGCAATAGAGCAGTGTAGAATGTATTGTGCGTAGGGGCGCGACGTGCAGCGAGGACTGGGTGGAGGCGTGGTGGACGGGGCGCGAGGGCTCGCGGGTGCCGCTGGGCCGCTGGTGCGGGCCCGCCACGCCCGGCCCGCTGCAGTCGCCGCGCGGCGCCGCCGGCCTGCTGCTCGCGCTGCACACCGACGCCGACAGCGTCGCCTCCGGCTTCAAGGCCCGATATGTATTCGAGGTACCACCGCTGCTTCTCGTCGAGTTTTTAACTCGCTTCAAAATTCTGAAGGTTCTTCAAAGCCCGTATTCAAGAACGGAGGGCTTTAGTTTTATTTTAATTGAAAGATTTGATTTTATGTTCGGTTTTACAATGTTTATGAAGAGAAATTATATTGAGACGTGTACAACACGAGCAGGTTGGCCATATAGAGAGAGAAAAACGTGTCTTGGGGAGAGGCTTCTTTCACCGGCTTCTGACTGCTATTAAAAATGACGTGTATTACTTGCATAGATAAAGTAGAGCGCGGATAGCCCGATGCAGTACACCTGCAATGCCGTTGGTGTTGTGAGTGATCATGGGCGGCGGTAGTCACTTCCCATCAGGTGAGCCGCACGCTTGTTTGCCCCCTGTGTTGTAAATAAAAGACTTAATAAAAGTCTGGCTTTTTAACTAATTTTCAAGTATTGAAGGTTCCAAATATTTAATGGGTGATAATGGAATGGTAACCTCACCCGCGCTATCGTTATACACCGGCGGGACACCAGTGAAGGATGATAGGTGAGGATGAAGCAGGTCAGTTAGCCCATCGTGACGAATACAACAAGAATGGTTCACGATGGTTTCTAGGGGAAAACCACGTGAAGGTCGACCTTCATGGGGCATATCCCTAGCAATGGGGCTGTTAAACTCCATTGCTAACAATCCCTTTCCCCCGAGATTCTAAATCTACAAGGCTCTATGTGTCTATGGACAGTATAATGAATTTTTTATAAAGCGGGCATGCAGTGAGATATTGCCGTTGCAGCCGGCGAAGTCGATATTCGGCGACTGCGGCGGGAACATGTCGGGCGCGGAGTGGGGCGTGGTGACGTCGCCGCGGTTCCCGCTGCCGTACGAGCAGCCGGCGCGCGGCGCCGCGTCCCGCGTCTGCAACTGGTTCGTGACGGCGCGCCCCGGCAAACGATTGTTGCTCAATTTTGAACATTTCGCCGTCGAGGGACATCTCACTGGTAAGGTTTCGTCCACATTTGACATCGACCAATCACGACTAATTACAATTATTTTTCCAGCTTTTCCAGGACAAAATTTACTGTCGAGATCCAAAGAAATTTCTATCCTCACTGAACTGTTTGTAGTGCAGCAAGTTTTTGCCAGATATAGCCTAAATTTCAAATTTATAGTAATACTGTTGAAATATTTTTGTTTTGAAAAATTTTGGGATTTTATTTGCATTAATCTAGTTATTAGCGATAATCTAAAAATAATGACAGATTACAAATATATGCAAATAAATCCGTTATAAACGATTTTTTATTATTGATCGATCTAATCTGTTTACGATGAAATTTTGATGCGAGACAATGGTAAAAAATCATAGTAAATTGAATCAAGCTAATGGTTCAAGTTATGGCCGTGTGGTCCCAGCATAGAATAGGCCACCCCTATCTTTCCAGTGAGTGTTGAAAATTTTGTAAACATCTCTAAAGCCTGACTGCGGTTGCCAATCCGCCTGCCAAGTGTGGCAACTACTGAAAAAATCTTCAACAGTGGACTGATATGATATGATGATGATGTTGAATGATTCAAGTTAGTACAACGTGTTCCCACTGGTAACTGATGTAGTTTATCTATAGGTGATTAATGTATATCATGTTTTTCTTCCAGAGCGCGGATGTCCTGCGGCGGTTCTCAGGCTGTGGTATGAAAGTCCGGGCCCTCCGCTCGAGCTTTGTGGGGAGAAGGCACCCTCCGATAGGTGGCAGTACCTCTCTTCCTCTAACTCAATACGGTTATCGTGAGTATTTATTATTACGTTTTGATTTAGTAGATATATAGACACAGACTTATGCAAGTTCGTTAACGGATGTTGTTTTTACTAGTCGTACTAAGAGATTTTTAAGTATTTTTATATTATAAAGGTGTCAAACTAATAAACAGGCTTGATAGGTTTAGATTACATGATAGTTTTGTCTATACTTTTAAATCCAATTTGCAGGGCAACGACCTTAAAACCTGTAAAACTATTAGGTTTAATTAAATTAAAGTTTCATTTTAAATTTTAATATAAAAATAGTAAGTTGTAATGTAATAAGTGATAAATAATAGAAGACTTTAAAGATAGAAGTAAAGCGTGGAATGTTTGTTTAAAGATTTATAATAGCGGATAAGGCAGTGGGCGCGGGCGGGTGGCGCGCGGTGTGGACGGAGGTGACGGTGGCGGAGGGCGGCGAGTGCGCGGGGGGCGCGGGGGGCGCGGGCGGCGCGGACCCCGGCGACTGCGCGGGCGCCTGCCTGCCGCCCGCCGCCGCCTGCTCGCGCCTGCAGCACTGCGCCGCCATGCCGCCCCGCCGCCCGCCGCACTGTTAGTATACTCGCACCGCTCTCTAACTACTCCCTTAGATGTCCTGCCGCTCGAATCTGCCACGTATACTTTTGCTCCTTGTAGAACAGTAGCGGAACTATTCTGTCAAACGCTCCGTCTCTGTCTCTCAAGCGACAAATGATACGTGCTCGATTAAGCAGCTTGACCATCTACGGAGACGATTCGGTTGAGGGCTTCGATCGTTAATCTCAGAGTTCTCAAACCAACGAAAAGGTATAGATAAATTAGTACACGGTAATAGGAAAGGCACAAAACAATATTGAAAGTAATTATATGCACTTACACATACATTTACACGAAAACTGTGGACGTTGCTTGAAAAATGTTCAAAATAGAATTCCACATTATGAACTACCACAAAATAGATACATCTGATATCTTTAACATTAAAATTAATATGCATTATTATGACATACATTAATGTATGATATCTTGAAACAACACAATTTATTTATCTCAACAAAGTTAAAAAATACACAACTTTTTTTTCAATCTTTAAACCAACGTTACGACGTTATCTATACTTTTTGTTGGCCTTATTCATTAATAACCAGATGCACAATGAGCTACCAAAATACTTAATAATACTTGAAAAAACAAATACTATTCTGAAACAGTACCGAAACGTAGTTGGCTGTCTATCCCAGTCCTGGTTTCGTCATTGCTATTAAAATATGTTTATTGTCACATCCTAATAAGCTTGAGATATCTAGTTATTAATGATCGATGATTGCGCAGCTTTCGGATTAGAATGTGTCATTGTAATTATTGTTTTAATTTATTCATAGCATAGTGCTTTGTGTTGATAAATAAAAAAATATAATGTAATTAATAACTTACATTTTTATAGTAAGTGATGAAATAACGACATATCTCACTAAAATCTCTCTGATTTGCAACAAAATTTCGGAAAAAAAATACTATAACTGCGCTCTCGTCGCTTTGACTTTTTTGATGCTTTCCATCAGTGCTGAATGGAGCTCCACTTATATTCTAAATATAATAATAATGACATTACATAATGTCCAATTGATTCATAGAGTGTCTATCGGCTTTTTGAATTTGTTCTTTATGTTTTTACAGTATAAATTGACAAATATAAAAAAATACCAGACGTGTCTGTTCAAAAATTCTATGTACATTGATGATATTTTCTGGTGTACTTTTTAATGTCAGTAACTTACATTACATATCGAATGAAATATGTCATATTGATGTTTTTTTTCTCTTAGGTGTTGTATTTCAAACGATACTTGTTTGAAGTATTTGTTAAAGGTTTTCCTCGACTCCACAGCTAGAGTCGAGGGCTTAGTATCTAATGGTTTTCCAAATTGATTCCGAGAACACTGTATTATATACAATTGGCACTGCACTCTGCATTTCCACTTAATATTGTATCTACACTATTGCATTTTGTCGCATTATAGGGAATTAAATATGTCTATAAATTCTAATTAAAATAATGTAGCTTGTTGAATACGTATATGGAGTAAGCAGTACATTCAAGCGTTTCTTTCCAAAGTACCGCTCTTAAAATGCTTTATATATTTAACATTGTACTAAGTTGCTAAGGAAGCTTATCATATACATTCGCTACTGCTTACTCCTGCTTTTGTCTTCTATTGTTGTAAAACATTGTATTAAAACACTGTAGATCTAATAACTAATAATCTTTATAAAATGAATAATGTTATGTTCACTATATTTAACTTTTCAATTTACTATTGATGGTTCAATGCAATCTTTGTCTCAAAGGATAGTACTGTGTGTAACTTTAGGGCGATATAGTATAGTAAACAATTTAAAATGAGAAACATATTAATTATTGTTGGTGAAATTAGCAGAATATATTGACTATGTTGCAAGATTACTGATCTTTTTATTTACTTACTGCATCCTTTCTAAAGTATTCTAAACATCAAATAAAAATGTTTTAAACTTTCCATATAAAATCATTCTTACATCCACGAATTCCACTTGAATCGTATAATCTGTTCCTTTACTCTTGGTCTTTCTGCAATACTGTGATGACTCAGGAGAGTTCAAGTGTAATGTTTTACCCAAATCTAATATTAATTTCTGTTGCGCAGATAAAAGCATTTCTAGTAGTTTCCTTGATATCTATTAACATTTTGATTCCATTGGACGAAGCTTGCATTGAGTCATCGCACTATGGGGCCCGGGGAATCGCGGCTGCTCGTTTCACATAAATTTTTGTTTAAAAGCACTTTCTGATTAAATTGTATACAAATTATCTATTAATATTAGATAATTTTTAATAAGCGAATTCAAGAGATGCAATTGATCTTTCAAATTCTGTTACGATTTTAAATTAAAAGTGGAATAATGTCTATTGTGTTGCGAAAGGCAACCGGTGTTATGTAGTGATAATGATAAAATCGGAAAGTGCTTGCGGCGCGGTCGCCCCGGGCCGGTGCTGACGCGGCGGTGTGCGCAGGCGGAGCGGCGCCGGGCCGCGTGGCGCCGCGCGCCGCGCTCGTCGTCCTCTCGCTTGTGCTCGCCGCCCCGCACTGACCGGGCGCTGCACACGTGAGTCTATACATACACCCCACCCTCCACCACCCCTCGCCCTCCGCCTCTCACACCCTGACATCAGTTTCCTGCTTTTCATGCTCACGCGCTTTTGCAATTTGCATCCGCAACGTTTGCTGACAATTCTTTTATTAGACTCAGATTATATTTCGAACCACTAAATTCTTTAACTAATATTGTTGCGAATGCAAAATCTTCAAAAAAAAGTAAACCAGTAGGTTTTGTTTGGCGTATAATAAAAATATGCCCGCCAAAATTCGATGTAATATTCAAATATCCGGATCAAAGGACCAACAAGTTGCATTCGATTCGAAGAAAAATTCTGTCCTCTTTACCTTCAGAATTCATTTATTACCGTGTCTTATTTTATATCTACAGCTATTTTGTTGCTTTGTGGATGTCTTCTTTCTTAGAATATCGTTACATGTCACTAGATGGCAACTAAATGCATTTTATAATACGTTGAACAAGATAGAAGACATCTACTTATGACATTTTTGCTTGAAGCTATTATTTCATCACGCATTACATAACGCTTCATGGATCTAAACAATGTCGATAAAATCATTAGTATTGCATGTTGTAAAAAGTTTTTAAACATAAATATATAACTAAGTATCACTAAACATAAAGAAAACGTTAAAATTGAAACTAAGCTTTACAAAATTCAATAATCCTTAAAAATGGCATTACAGGCATCCATTTGTATTTAAAAATTGCTGGTTATTGGTAGATAGAAGAAATCTAAGACAAGAATTTGAGCTAGGTATTATTTTTTGGTTTAATTTCGAATTTAAGTTTTATATATTCTAATTTTCGCTATTTTTATACATACACAGTAGAAAATTTTTACTACCTACCTATTTATATAGTTTAAAAATGCTTAATTACTCATTGAATTTTGTAAAGTGAGCCTTTTAAGGTCATAAATAAACAAGACCTTTGATCAAAGTAGTAAATTGGACTCTGAGTTGTGTATGTTTTGGACTAGTACCATCACACCGACATAAAGTGCAAGGTGTTCCGGAATATAACCATCACGAGTCGAGGCACCAAGCACCGTAGATAGACTAAAAGCACAGTTATTGAGGCGATTAATACATGTAGCGGTGCAGCGTCCCGCTGTTATGTGCTTTTCTTGGCGGATTACATATAGAAGAACAAACTTTTAAATCGCTCCCGTCATCGCACCGCTTCGTGTCTTAAGTTTGTTCTGGGTACTCTGTATGTAAACCATCGAATATTTGCATACGACGGCGTGGCCTCGTACCACTTCATGTGTTTAGCCTCTTCGTACGAGGGTCGATGGTGAAGGTGAAATCACAGAATGCACAACTGCACATAGTGCCTACGAGATTCACATCATCGTACAACGTGCGTTTTGTACCATCACGTTTTTGCTGCGACCCGCGTGCGAACGCATCATCTGGTACACTTTGTCGAGAATGGAATGTGGAAAGTAACGCACTGCTCGGAATCGCACTCGCTCACCCGGGGAGCGGCGGCGCTGGCCAGCGAAATAGGGTGAGGTGTGTGACGATGACAGGCGGCAGCGGCGCAGCGGTAGCGGGCGCGGGCTGGGGCGGCGCGTGGTGGCTGGCGGCGGCGGGCGGCGCGACGGGCTGCGCGGCGCTGGGCGCGTGGTGCCGGCGGCGGCGCCGCGCGCGGCCGCGGGCGCCGCCGCCGCCGCCGCGGCCGCCGCCTCGCGCGCTCGCCGCCCGCCTCGCCGCGCCGCAGGACACCGTATGACGACGCGCCGGCGCCGGCGCCGGCCCGCGTCGCTCTTTGCACCACATAGTTAAATACACCACTTTAATGTAACAACGCCTTTTATTGTAACGTTCCCAAAATTGTTTCCAACGAGAATTGTTTTTACCTTTAACATGAAAAAATTAAAGTAAATCTTCATACCGTCATTTTCTGTAAAGTCTAATTAAAATTGAGTGTCCATCTGTTTTATGTCGTACAATTTTATAATTAATTTATTGAGATAGTTTTATATAGATTTTTTGGGTTCGATTTGAATGTTATGGCAAGTACAAAATAAGCAGATAATGTTATTATGTTGCATATAATGTTTGACAAGCCGACGGCCTACCTGATGAAAAATATTAACCGTCGCCGATAGACATGAATAGCATCATGGCCAGTACGTAATATGTTATACTAAGTCTATGGTCATTACAGAGTATATTGTAATGCCATAGACTTAATATAACGTACTACATATTGGCTATGATACTTCACATGCGTTGCCATACCTGAAAACTATTCATTTTATTTCAAGGACTGTCAGAGTATCTGAGTAGTAGTTTCCCTTTTTCAACTGACTTCAAAAAGAAAGAGGTTCTCAATTCGATAAATTTTTTTATGTTTGTTACGTCATATCTTTGTTAGTTAAAAACCTATATTAGATTTTTTTATCTGAAAAGATGTACTTACATGTTAGTCTCATAGAAACTTTATAAAGTCGATACAGTAGTTTAGTTTTGACATCAATCGCTTTTGAAGTCAGTTTTTTTGTGGAACACAAATTATTATTTATACCTTCATAATCTATAAAAATTTTGTTCTCAAGAATGGCAATCTTTGAGGAGTAGTACCATGGGTATCATAGTACATGTATTATGGTATCCATTGTGCTGTTCATATCTATAAGCGACGGTTATTACCTACTTTCAATCACAACCCGTCAGTTTGCAGTGCTACGTGTCATAAAAGAACCAGTGTTCTTTTTTAATATTTTATACTGAGTCTATGGTTTATACAGCTGATGGAAAGTGGTAACAGTCGTCTATAAATATGAGCAGTACCACGGACATAACAGAGTATATGGTACTGTTTCGCCTATGATACCCCCATACGTTGCCAATATTGAGGACACGTGTTATTCTTCTGTACCCTGTAAATTCACTGTCATATCCCACCCTTTAAACCGAAACACAGCCACGCAAACAACTGCTTCACGATTGGAACACAAATTGGACAGAGGTGCCTAAACGAACGACTTTTATACAGTTTCCCTCTGGTGGTTTCTGTACTTTTTACTGTATATAGTCTATGATTTTATACAATATTTCAGTACTTTATACTGAGTCTGTAGTTTTATACAGTACTTTATACTGAGTCTGTAGTTTTATACAGTATTTTAGTACTTTATACCGAGTCTATGGTTTTATACAGTATTTTAGTACTTTATATCGAGTTTATGGTTTAAAACAATATTTAAGTACTTTATACTGAGTTTATGGATTTATACAATATTTTATTACTTTATAATGAGTCTATGGTTCTATACAATAAATTTTCAATTTAAATTAATTGTCGCTAAGTCACCCAAATTTGTGGAAAGTAAGAAAATTGAGTTGATCACGAAAAGTTATTAATCAAAACCTCAATTCTGACCTTTTCGTGTTTCAGATCAGAGGCTATATATGGGTATTTGTCTATGGGTATATTTCTACATGGATATTTGTGTTAGATTTAGTGAGGTTTTTAACGTGTTTACATGATTGTTTAGGCGAGACATATCAGTGCACAAAATTGCAGGGTACAAAGGAAATAGGCCTAGTCCTCAGGAAAACAAACGCTTCTCTCTACTAATGTATTCTGTGATATCTATAATGCCGGTCAAGTATTGACGATGGTTACTATTTTCCATTAGGTATGCCAACGGATTGTCAAGCTAAATTGTAGATAGGATCAATGATATAAGTACAGAGGTTTTAAACTCAAAACTTCTGTGAGATAGTGGAATACATTGATTTGCGAATACAGGGTTTGATTCTCGGACAGGTCAACTTAATAAATATGCGCTTTTCTTCTTGTTCGGAAGTAACTGGCTAATTTAGTACTAAACACTTTTAATTGTGCCAAGAAGGCATACCCGTTGAACAATGAGAAAGCATTTTTAGTAGTTTTTCTCATGGTCCTACCAACTATTTTGAAGAACTTTGATATTGTACGATTTAAACTGTCCTAATAACAGTGATTTACTAAATTTCACGAATTTGAACTTTAAACTAATTAAAAATAATGATACAATAAATTTCGTGAAATGTAGAGTTTAGGAGTAATAAAAAAGGAAACAAATAGATAATAAGGCAAACACAGTTTTGCAAATTTATTCCACATATTAAACTGATACAAGTTTGATACAAGTCACGAGTTCTAACAGTATGGACATGCTATGTGGTCGAAATACAAAAAATGTTTAGTAGAGCGATAATAAACATACAGAAATCCTGACTTTACAATACTACTTCTTCACACTAATGTATTTTAAAGGGAAATATGTAATAAAAAATAAAGCAAAAAACTAAAGCACGAACAAATCGGGAAATGTTGTCGATTACAGTTACTGAGTGGGGTGTCCGTTCGGTTCGGTTGGCCGTCGTCGCGTCAGTCAGCTGGTCATGGTGCACCCTTGACTAGCGGCGCCTAAGAAACGTGATCGTCCTGTTGGTGGTTCTATTTTAGCCGTACCTAATTGTCAGAGTTCATTATATTAATTCATAACCTCATGTAACCTAAGTTGTAAGTGTGTCAAAAAACAACAGTCAAACTCCTTACAATATAATAATTACTGCTAAAATACACATCACATCGCAAAATGCGTTCTCAGGAATAAAATATATTGAATAACATGTATTAAAAAAAAACAGACAGTCGATGGGTCCCCGACCCGAGCGCGCGACCGCAAACAGGCAACCGCGGCCGCGCGCCCTCCACATAATAAAGTATATATTAAATAATATATACGGCTAATACGACAGAGAAAACATAAGCATAACGGGAAACTTACATTCGAAACATTTCATAACGTCCTACTTTAAGATTTTTATGGAATCGATGCGATACAAAATCGAAAACTTGAAAATCAAATAAAAAAAAACACATATATAGAAAAAAGTAGAGCGATCCCCTCGGTACAGAGCGGGGACCGGCCGTAGACGAGACCGCGGGCCGCGGGCGCTCGCGTCGCCGGCGGACCTCCCCTGCGCAGCTTGTAGTGTCTCCGGGGCAGGGGCGCGGCGGGCGCGGGCTGGCGGCGGCGGCGGCGGCGGCGGCGGCGGCGGCGGCGGCGGCGGCGGCGGGGCGCGGCGGCGGCGGCGGCGGACACTAGCTCGCGCAGCTCGTCGCCTCGCCCCAGCCGCACGCGGCAGCCGCCGCCGCGCCTAGCCGTCGCTTCGTCTCCCCCCCTTGGTTCTGGTGACCCCCGTCGTATTTACGTTTGCCTGGAACGCACCGAACGCGTCTCAAACGTATTCCACATAGTACGATACACGGAGTGAGAAAAGGACAGGCGATGAAGTGTCTTAAATAACAATGCTAGTAAATTTTACACAAAGTGAATATTGCTTCTAAATATGTTAACTACATAAAAAAAAGCTGTTCGAAGTTAAATACTGTATCAATTCTGATGTGCCAATTTGGCTTCGACAGGATAGATATTAATAAACATAAGTTCCGAAATTCTTCTTAAGCCACCAAATTCATCATAGATATTTGACTCTTATCGATTGGTACTAATTAAATAAAGAACTTTTTTCCTGTCTCATTTCGATTTACCGTTGATGTAAGGGAAAAATTAAAACGCTATCCAAAAATTTACACTATATATGTACAAGCAACATTTTCTTTGAGTAAGAAACATTCTGTTTCCACCACTGTCATTTTCTCACCCTGGTCATTTACACGTCGCTGAGAAATTAAAATGAAACAACCCTAAAACTTCATGAATGATCAATTTCATTGAATGAATTAATTACAGCTACAAGGTCTGCCACAAACTTTCATCGTGCACAATGAGCCTAGAAAACATGGGACTCACTTCGATCAACCCCGTGAATTAAAGTTTGTGGTAGCCCTAAGGGTAAGGACATGATGACATAGGTGCTGGATAGGACGGGAGTGGAATATTTACCGATAGTATAAAGAATCACAATCCAGATTACACGCAAACCATCAAACATGCTGAAAAAGAAGAATTAAGAATATTTATCAGATTTTATCAAGTTTTTATTAGTGCGTCAACCGAGAGAGAGTCCAATGTTTTCCATTTTCATAATTTTGAATTTTGTTTTACCTCGCCTCCAAGTTAGGACGGCAGATTCAATAATTGGTTTACTTTACTACTATTATATACTGATAATAATAAACGTTTATGTATAAGTCCAGTCACACATTTAAAATTATGAAAGAAAAAAAAAATTATACACATGTGTGCAACACAAAAAGGCCATAGATAATATTATTGACCTAGACTCATCAACTATCAAATTTTGAATACACATTAAGGTGATGATAGAAGAAATAATAATTTCTTATTATTTTTTAAATAAAATTTGAGTGCTTTTCAGCACAAGCTCACGAGATAAAGCACCCATTATCAAATAATGTCTATTTACTATAGAAATTAAGAAATAGGAACATTATTTAGAATTTTAACTCATAAAATATTGTAACTACAATAATTGAATATTAGAAATCGAGAACACATGCTCTTCCAATAAAAAAAAGGCGCGTCAAATTTATTATTGTTTTTATTGAATTTGCAGGAGTGTTAATTCAACCTGGATATTTATTTTTATGATACTAGTCTAATATCCTGGTAATAATTTTCAGGAAATATTACATACATCAAGTACAGCAAGTACATACATCAATGTGTAATAGCGGATTCGTGATAGGAAAGGAAGATTTTTGGATAATTATATTAACAGCTGAGAAGTAGGGTTAAAAAAAAGGAATCATTGTATATTGAAACCTGTAGAAGAGACTAAAAATGAATGGAAATTGAACGGTGATTTTGTTTGCGCTATTGATTTACTGGCGAGGTACCAGTGTAGGATTACAGGTAAAGAAGCCAGTTAGTTTATCGTGACAAATTTACCAGGAATTTACCACAACGGTTTCGAATGGAGCCGCGTATAGCGTAGTGACCTAACATAACATACATAGAATATACTGGGGGAAAGGAACTGTTAGTAATAGGGCCCCGCTGCTGGCTATATGCCCCACCCCCCTCCCTCGGAAACCATCATGCTGGATTCCAGGTATATTCATCACGATGGGTTAACTAACCTGCCTTTTCATTCTCACTTGTGATCCCTAACTGGTGCCTCACCAGTGTATACCGTTAGCGTAGGCGGTATTGCCATTCCATTATCATCCATTAAAAATAAAAAATAAAAAGAATATATTGTTAGCAATAAGGCTGTTTCTTTTTAATAGATGAAGACGAAATCGTGTCAGTTGGCCAATTGTGGCCAATTTATCGATGGTTTTCAGTGGGTATTCCATGGAGGTCGGTCTGATAAAGTTTATTGCTATGCAATGAGAGATAACCTCTTCATTACTAATAATCTCTTCGCCACAAATCCCCCAGGACTGTTAGTTCCCGTTATTAAAAATCCGTTTTATAAGTGATGGCTCTGTCTAGAAAGTGGATGAACATTTTAGTAGTAGGGGGGAAAGGGACTGTTGGCAATGGAGTTTGACAGCACCGTTGCTAGCAATATGCTCTATTAGGTCGACCTCCACGTGGTTCCCCCTGGAAACCATCGTAAACAATTCTTGTTGTATTCGTCACGATGGGCTAACTGGCCTGCTTCATTCTCACCTATCATCCTTCACTGTTTTCCCGCCAGTGTATACCGATAGCACAGGTGGAGTTACCATTCCATTATCACCGATTAAAAAAAATCTCAGTAGCTGGGGAGAGAACTGTATTGTTGGATAGTAACGACTAAAGGAACCAAAACCAATATCAACAATATGGGGAATACTCAGAGATAGGTTGATCTCCACGCAGTTCTCTTTGGATACCATTATGGTTCGTTCTTGGTGAATTCGTCACGATGGGCCAACTTGACCTAACTGTATCGTCACTTATCATCCCTCACTGGAGATCTGCTAGCGTGAATACCAATAGCGCAAGTGGGATTACCGTTCTATATTCATCTTTTTACAAACTCATCATTATTATTATTGGCACTGTAAGATCTATTGTTGCAAAACTGTAATGTTGTCATAAATAAATAAAAAAAATCTCAGTAGCCAGTGTAGAATGAGCGAGTGATAAACTCAATGTAACTGCATCTTCATCTATCATTTTTAATCGGTACTCTTACCGTACCGTTCTAATTTTACTACCGCTGGGAAGCTTGTGACAAAATAATGTATATTAAGACGTTAAAAATAAAATACAGTGATAGTTTACCTAAATATTACTCTGGTAAATATATCTATAGGTAAATTATGGAGACTTTGTACAAAAGTCGTTTGCTTGGGCAGAGGTGCCCATCGTGTTTCAACCGTGAAGCAGTTGTGCTTGCATGACTGTGTTTCGGTTTGAAGGGTGGGATATGGCAGTGAATTTACAGGGTGCAGGGGCATAACACTTGAGTCCTCAGAAATGGCAACGCACTGGGAATATCATGGGCGAAACAGTACACTCTGTTATGTGCATGGCACTGCTCATGTCTATAGGCGACGATTACCACTTCCCGTCAGCTTGTTTGTGTGCAACGTGTGTGCAGCGTGTGAGCAAGTGGTACTGCTCACGTCTATAGGTGAGGGTTACCACTTTCCGTCAGTTTGTTTGTGTGTAGCGTGTGTAGCGTGTGTAGCGGGTGTGGCTGGTGCGCCGCACTGACCTGGTAAACTTGGCTTGGCGCGGGGGTTGCCACGCATGGCGCTGGGCGTGCGGCGGCCACGCGCGGCGCGCCGCGCACCACCACGGCAGCCAGCCGCGGCCGGCGCCGCCGCCCCGCGCCGCGCCCACCGCGCGCCCGTCCCACATGACCCAGCCCCCTGCGGCACACCACGCACTCACTCCGCGCCCCGCCACTCACCAGCCGCCGTCACCCGCCGCCACTCACCGCCACTCGCCGCCCGCGCTCCGGTTATCGACAACGCTATCCCTTCATTCGACGCGGTCTATGCACACGATGCATTTAGGCCAGAGACAAAACTCCCCTCAGTGCAAGTCTCGTACTTACTTGCGCAGCACGTAATGTGCTTCGTAGCATGCAGTTCTACAAATCACATGTTTTGTGCAAGTAGATATTTTTATATTTTTATCTGAATTAAAATTTAAATTGAAAATTATTTTTTTTTTTAACAATTAAAACAAGACAAAAAAACATTAAAATTTTGTCTGACCAATTATGTTTTGTGGAACTAGATCTCTAGTCTGCATAGGGAGTCACAGTGACATGTTTTATGCAATTAGTGTTTTCATTAACGATTATAAATATTTGCAAATTGCGCGATTGTCGATTGAAAGGATATCCTATCGATAAATCGGGACGCGGTCTCAATGAGTTATTAGTCAATGATTTCTAATATTTAAAGTAATTTTATATCATTGACTAAAAACATTAAAGTAACAGTCTGGGTTGCACCACACATATAAGAATAACTATTAACCAATCGCCGCTCAAATAGCGATAGATAGGCCACCTATGATAACAAGTGCACGCACGTCTGTGTGTAAAAAAATAGTCCAACGAATAGAAGATAAGACTACTGTTTCTTATTGGATATCTACTAAGGTTATCGTTATATTGAAATGTAATAGTATATACATATTACAATGGCTAGGATTTGTTATTTTTAACATAATAAAATTGTAACTAGAACTTGTGTCTGTATATTTAAGAAAAAATAATATAAGTATAATAATAATATAAAAATATTAAAAGAGCAATAGCCAAAAACCAAAAACAATAATAATACTTTCCACTATTTTAAATTATTCTATTAGAAATAAAATAAACTAAATCATATGTATAAATAGCTATAGTAATTATGAGGAGATATTTGATTGTAATGAATAAACTCAACTACAGAACTGATTTAAAAAATTCAACAATAGAAGCTACATTGTCAGCGAGCACATAGTTTATGTTATCTCTATCCATCTGCCCGTGCGAAGCCGGGGCGGATTATTAGTTGTTCATAAAAAAAAAAAATAAGTAATGAAACTAAATATTTCTACAAGAAACTGTAATTAGTAAATTGTTACGAGTCTAATCAAAAACAATTTAATTTCAAAACGTATTAATTCAAAGACTATAATAGATATAAAATATTATATCTACCCACAATTAATTTTACTTAAATATTATATGGTTAAATTAACGCTTTTATCTTTTTTTGTAAGATATATATATATATATATATATATATATATATATATATATATATATATATATATATATATATATATATATATATATATATATATATATATATAGCGTTAATTTAACATATCATATTTAAGTCAAATTAATATATATATATGGCAACACTGTTATGTCTATATAAGTGGGGTTAAATATATATGTGTGTGACTAAGAAATATCATGCCATTTCAGTCACACACACAATTATATAATTAATTCTAATCGTACACTTGAGAATTTTGAAGGCAGTGCAACCCAAACATATACTGACGAGCAAGTAACTTGTACGCAAGATACAATAAATTCTAGTAACTTGCCAGCAAGTTATTTGTCTAACCAAGAAACGATACAGAATGGCGGTGCAACGGTGGCGTTCGAGTCGTCCGGGCCATTTGTCACAATATTTACATATTATAGAAATTTATACATCTAATACGAAAATATAAATTATTATATTAACATTAGCCTCAGTCGTTGTTTACCTATTCATAGACAAGAATACAAAATGTATAGAATTATAACATAATGATACAAGACTACAATACACGACTCGATTCGAGACATTATAAGATTTATTAGATTTGAAAACTGTCACTGATTCGATATTGTAATTCAATAACCATAGATTTAACATAAATATAAATGAAAAACAACAGTTTTGGAATTTAGAGCCTAAACTGGAATTAAGAGTGTAAACTCCAAAATTGTCTTTATGTTATTACAGTATATGTATAGGTAGATATTAATCTATGGAATTCTCGAATAGTAACAGTGCATTGAACGAATGAGACTAAAAACAACAGTATTTCATTAGTTACGTTCGATTTCTGTTCCGATTATTTGCAGTCTTCTGGCGCTTATCCACCAAGAGTAATCGCGTATAATGTAGCATTCTGAAACAGCACGTTTCTGAATACGGTGCCGTCAATACGCACCTTTTACTGCAGGCTTACTTACTTACATTGGATATATTTTTATTCTCAAATCTCCAATACACTTTCGGCAAATATATTTTTTATTTTCGAATTTATAATGCAAACACTTAGTTAAGACTATTCGTTTCTATGTGAATAAATTACTTATACTAACATGCAGAAAACAAAAAAAAAAAAAAAAAAAAAAAAAGATTATGATTCTACTAAAGGCAAAATACTGACAATTGATAAAATCAGTCATTGATGATTGTTGATTGGCGACATTCATCATAGTCGGCTATCGCTATGTTAATGTTACATTCATACTAGAATCCGACCTAAAAATATATATTGTAATGTTAATGTACTTTATATAGCGTCTGCCATACTTATGTCTTACAATACTGGATTTTTCAATAAGGGTCATATCGGTGATTGTACGAATGTGAACATCTTTACATTACATTACATTATGTTACATTCATATTGTGTAGGTCAGTAGCCAGCTTAAAGATAGCATTAAACGGCATTGTAGCTATTTTCGAATTATTTATATAACAGAAATCGATCATAACTAGTTCATTTAGTAAGACGAATAAATTTTGAAAATTATTGAATTTCAGTCAATAAATTCTCGTCTTACTAGATTTATTGGACAGAATAAACATGCAAAACAGATGTCGCAATGCATATCAATATAATGCTGTAATACTATAACTATAGTTACTAATCAAAATTATGTATGTAAAAATGTAAGTTACAGATTTATTTTTTATGTAAACACGTGGCATAGTTTTCATTAAGATTAATAAAGTACTACTAATCCCAATACACAAATAAATATACTACGTTAATTAAAAAAAAAAAAAGAAACAATCAGGTACCTAAAAGCTTTCTAAATCGACGCGTATCATACTCAAGGCATAGTAACGTTTAATTATATAATTCGTTGTACATAATTATATAGTAAATATTCAACATTTACTACATTAAACTATAAAGAGATACTACGATGGATCTAAAGCTAACGTCTGACTTAATTATTTAATGTAATGTTACATTCGCAACGAGGTTGTAAGTTATAGCGTTAACCTAATACTAGATTCACACTATAACGTCAATCACACGTTCTCGGTCGGATAAAATATTATCACGTAATAAACAAATGTATTCCATACTATTTGTAATATTCCAGTCATGATAAATCACGAAGTGTTTCTACTTAATAATATTTTACCAAGCCGGGATTGGACCGAGAACTGTGATCGATTTTACGATGTGAATCTAGCCTTATAGTTCGCCTAGATGAATGCTCATATTGTAATGTTACATTACATTCAAATATTGTAGGTCAGTACCCAGCTTAATAGTTCTATGTACATCTAAAAGAAACATACACTAATAATACAATGACGACCAATTAACGTATCGGTGCAACGGTACCTGAATGCCTCCGGTTAGATCGTAGTAAAGCGAGTTGGGCCCGAGACCGAGCTCATCGTCCTGAGTGAGGCATTTACCAAGCGGGTCAGTAAGTCTTCTTAACATATTCTCTACCTCGTTGCAACAACGAGAAATGTTACAAGTTAGCGTTCCAAGCGTCGGATAATATTGTCGTGCGGGGTGGCGGAGCTCCGAGCGTGATAGGTTAGTAGTAAAGCAAAGCGAAGCGCTACATGGTTGGTGGGCATGCGAGCGATATGATATCAAGCGGTATTAACGTGAAATGGCAACTGAAAACAACAGGTACAGGGGAGCTACTGCGAAAACTCAAACTCGCCTTCGACAAAAGTCAACACTACGCTAGTCTCCGACCAGTGGGAATTCGAGATACAAAAGGCGCCAGTTTTGACAGTAGGGCCCCGTGTCAGAGACGGGCATGTTAGTCGGAGTGGCCTCAGCCATATAGACCTGATGGTGAGATCGGCCGACCAGCCACCCCGCGCCCTCTACACTTTTCCCGGCAATCAGTGACAAATCCGAGGCTGCGGCGGCGGCGCGGTGCGGTCGCGAGCGGTCGCGAGCGGTCAGTAGCGGCAGCGCCGCGCCGCCCCGCCCGCCGCTACAATCACCACCGTCAGGCCTACACACTACCGTCTTTACCGAGTCACTAACTCCATTCGTGGATGGGATTAAACAAAAAAAAAAAACAGTAGATGAAAAAATTTGGCAAATCAAAAAACCGAAAGAACAATGATGAGTACAGCGACTAGTGACTAGTAAAAAAGAGTGATAACATTAGTGAGTGTGTGTGGGACCCACCGGTTGCGCTCTGTTCGGAGGCTGGCGGACGGCGGACGGTTGCGGTGGCCCCGCGTAATCAAAATAGAACTCATCGTACCGGTAAAATGGCTCATTGTAGCCACCTCGGTAATCACCGTACCCGTAATAGTCGTAATCATAATCTATAAACACACAACACAGGCCTTTTAGAGGCTAAGCTAAACTATCGCTAACTTAAATCTACCGTATGGCGGCTGGCGATTTGCGAGCCTCCACGCACTCGTACCGGGAAAAGAGAACAGTTAACACATGCTATTTCACTTAACTGGGTATGGTACAGCACACGGGTTAACTCCAACACCTTAGCTTCCTCCCTTAGCTCACACACACGCGGCGCGCACGCCACGCGCCGAGCAACCAACATGCATCGTGTACGACTCGTCGTTCATGAAACATGCCGTCTTATGTCAGTGGAAATCGATTCGGAATTGCAAATGGATTTCGTAACCCACCACCCAAGCCTACATGTAATGAGAATTCTAGTCCGGTTGACTCGACAGCAATGTTAAATATGACAGTGTTACATGCATTGGAAAGTTTGTTATTTAATAAAAATGATGTCCTGTTTATTTGAAGCGTTTCCTGATAAACCTACCTCTCGAAGTTTCCTGTCGACACCATGCATTTACTTAAATTTAGCCCTTATTTTCTAGCCTAGTAATTATAGCGTTAGTGATACATTTTTGTGACCTCAACTATACACTTTAACCGCTGCTATTGAATATTAAGACATGTTATAATAACATTAAGGTGCATACTAAATTAAAAGAGCTATTTAAACGTTTCGTTCATCAAAAACGTGTTGATTACTAATAACAGATTTGATTGAGTAATCCGATGTTTATCTTAAATCCACAATTTCGACTATCAAACTGTATACTTCCAACTAATATTGCATTTATAATACTTGTATAATTTTATAACTTGATTACATCTGATCAACGGTTTATTCCTGGTTAGCACTAAAGGTAGTCCTTTAGTGTATGTTTTGTAATCAGGTAAAAAATGCGCACGAAACAGAGGGATTCTCAGTGTATAGTAGCGATCACATTTGTTAGTAGGGACAGTAGCAATGTGCGAGTGTGTGCGTGGAGTCCACACCGTGTTATATTACCTTTGTGTGCGTGAGACTTTGTGAGAGGTAGGTTGAGGGGGTCTAAAAGACAATTTACATATAAACAATTATTCCTTCCACCCATTTTTTTTATTTACTTTTATGTGTTTTGTGTTATTTAGCGGAGAATTTACGCGCTTTAATTTAGCCAACATGTATACAAGGTGAAAATAACGTCGTTAACATTATATTAAGGCACAATTTTTTCCCCAAAAATTAGGTCAATAAATGACAAAAAATTTTGAGCCTCCTATGCTACTTAGATACCCGAGTAAGAGCCTCAGCTCTTAAAATTTTTGATTACCATGTTTAAATTTTAGTATACAATATTTTTGATTGGGAATAAGACAATAGAATTCATATTCAAACTTTTTTTTTTAATAATATGTTTTACCGCTCTGGATACAAATTCAAACTCATCTGTATTAAGTGTTGCCATTTTATTGCATTATACTTTTTAGAATTTTACATAGAAATGTGGCATGCAACAATACGAAAAGTTATTACATTATTAACTGTTTGACTGTAGCTACTTGGGAAGAGTGAATAAATTAATAAATGAGTATATTTTCATTTGCATTAGAATGCGGCGGTGTATTAATGTGTGCGTGTGTTAATTGCGAGCGTGCCGTACTAACCGTAGTGTCTAAGATTTTTTTTTATGTAAAACAACGGAAAAAATATTGGGGGTGGGGGAGAGCGAGCTTTGGTACACCTGATGGTAAGTGATTACCGCTGCCCATATGTAGTGTAGAATGCTGTGTGTGTAGGTATCCGTGTAGGTGCGTGTCTGCGGTGTCACCAAGAAGCTTGGACCAAATGGAGACTGTACTATGTGTACCAAATTGAAGCAAATAAATCTAGTCTAAGACTCGCATTGACATCACTTCAATTGAACAATACGAGAATTAAAAGATACTTGTAATATAATTAACAATGATATTGGATTTTTAGGTTACTAATTAATTTATTCGCATCAGATTTGCTTATGTTCGTTTTGTAATCTCCATTTGATTTTAAGAGATCTGTAGACGGTCAAGCGACTTAAATAAAGCACGTAAAATTATTTGATTATATTAGAGTATTTCTTAAACACATGATGGTTTAATTCAAATAAACACTAGAAAAGATAAATACCAAATAATTCCGGACAAAATCGTCATGCTTGATTGAAGCCGTGTTACCATCTACAGATATCTTTAAGTGTATCGGTACCAATGGCGGTCACCGCTCGTGACGCGTGGTGTCCGTGTCCGTGTGCGTGTGTGTGTGCGTGCGTGTGCGTGCGTGTGCGTGCGTGTACGTGCGGTGTGCGTGCGGGTACTGACCGTAGTCGCCGCGCGCTTGCGGCGGACGCGGCGGCGGCTGCGGCGTGCGGCCGCGCAGTGCGCCGTGCACGGGCGAGCAGCTGCACCAATCAAATCTGACGGTTAATAGCCACACGTTAAGGTGCAGATAAGAGGACAAACGGCACAGAACAGTTACGACATTTTATTCCGTTTGATGGTGGCAAACATAGATACACCTCGTCTAGTAATAATTACAATTATGACAAAGGGCAGGTCTGATTGTAATCGGTTACAGTAGTCTATGGTCGTTTGATATCATGTAAACTCGATCCTGATGAATACTTAAGACTTTTCGCATTAATATTAAACAAAAATTAAATGGTAGATACATATAGTGATAAATACTCTTTAATGTTCCCTTAAAAAATTACAGTAGTACACTTGTCACATACAAGGGCAAGGAAATATAGAAATATTGCTTACTTGTTCTAACACCACCGTTAGTCGAAGTAATGATCAAATGTTTGTCAAGGTGGATAGATAAATTCTTAGTATTTGCCTACGTAGAGGGATGTATTTTTTTATGAAATTTAAAATGTCAAACAAGATAACGGCATATTTAATAGAAAACGGTAACCGTGGCCTATAGATATGAATAATACCATGAACATTGCCATCCCTAAGGGCTAAGGTGCTACATCTCCGTACTCTGTAATTTCACTGTGATATTCCACCTTTCATAAAACAAAACAGGATTTAAATTTGAAACAATATGTCGCCATTCTTGAGAACTAAGACGTTGTGCCTACATACCCTGTAATTATACGATCATATCCCCTCTCCCGACCCTTCAAACCGAAAGATAATGATGTACCAAGCTGGTCTTGTTTAATATTCGAGTATTTTGGTTATTGTTAGAAAAAAATCGAATCCTGATTCGAGTACAAGTATTCGAGAACTTGTATAAATTTCTTAAGCTTACTTTTAAAGAAGACAATAAACACTTATTAATTTAATAATTTTTTCTTTGATAATTAACGACAAAAAACTTTCGATTAGCACGAGTATTCGAGTACTGTAAACACTCGAAACTTGTACTCGAATCCCGTATATCGTTCCCTTATTATTAAATCCCGTATTAGTTACTATAGTTGATATAATCGAGTTCGCTTAACTCGGTACATCACTATCGGAACACAAGATATTTTAATTTGCCACAGCACGCACCCTCCGCGAACGTGCAGCGTTTGCATCATGCGCCGCTCGCGCGCCCGTAGTATTTCCTCCTTCTTCTTCTTGTCGGAGGGCGGCTTCGCTAGCGACACCTCCAGCCGCGCTCCGCCCATTTCCTTTCCGTCTAGCTCTTGCATAGCCTGGCGACAATTACGATGTCATGTACTTTTCTATTGTTTAATGGTCGAGGGATGGACAGTACCGTTTCTTTTAAAACATAACGAAAGCTTAACTGCGGTTGCTATTGCAATACCCCCCTTATGAGGGAGGCCTATGTCCAGCAGTGGACAGTTACCGGCTGATATATAAATAAAAAAAAAACTGCACAATTTTCTTAGAACCTTTGTATGTACAAATGCATTTAAATATTTTGTGAATATGTTACAACTGATTTTATGAGTCAATGACGTCACAATTCCATTTATATAATAGCAACAAGGGATAGTCGAGACAATTATTTACGTGATGCCAAAAGATCATTTTAGTATATTGGTACTAGCAGGGTTTTTCTTTTTCGTTATCAATAAAAAATTTAGAATTAGTTCAGTTAAGTTCTTTAGGTAAAAAAAAAAAAAAAAACTAATAAACAAATAGACCTAACGTTCTTTTATCAAAATTTTAAAAATGAACGCGTTCTATAGACACAGGTTGACGAAGCATTTCTTCTTATTGTCCTAAATAGTTACTTTTACTGCACAGTCCCGGTCGTCGAAGTGCACGAACGCATAGTCCTTGATCTTCTTCACCCGCTCCACGGTGCCGTAGTGCTCGAATTCCTCCTTGAGTGCCTCTTCCGTTATCTCTTGCGTTAAATTCCTCACATACAGTACTTTGACCTGGGGAAACACAATTATCGTCGTCAGCCTATTATCAGGATTTAGGAATGACAATGACTATTTCAATCAATGACTTGTTTCAGTTTAAACAGTACTAAACTACTGGCTATGAGGCACAACACAATAGTTCCCAGGAATGCAACGCATGAGAAATATCATGAAAGTACAGTGTATTTTGTGATACTGTGTTGTTTTTGGAGTTGACCTACAAGTTTACAACCCACTGACAGATGGCCCGTCATTTTGTTTGCTGTTCCAATATAAAAAAAGGTTAGGGGGAAGGGATTGTTAGTAATGGGATGGGAGTAAAGGGATTGTCAGGTCGACCTCCACGTGGTCCTCCCTGAAAACCATCATGCTGAATCCTAGGTGTATTCATCACGATGTGCCAACTGACCTGCCTTTTCATTCTTACCTATCATCCCTTAGTGGTGCCCTGTCAGCGTATACCGTTAGCACAGTTAGTGTCACCATTTCATTATCATCCATTAAAATTTATAAAAAAAAAGGGTGTACTTACCTTACTCATAGTTTGCTCGTCTGGTTCCTCTTGAGGGTCGGCCCAGTCCACTATAATATCACAGCCCCACACCTGCGCACAGCAATACCGGTCAATATTAAATTAAATTAAGATAATAAATAAATTAATAATTAATTATTAAGTTTAGCGGAACTCCACATCACTGATTAATTAATTAAAATTACTTTAATTCTGCTATCATTAAACATAACACTAGGCTCCGAGCAGTGATCTATTAACAACCTGAAGATACCTCGTTTAGAGATGAAATACGTGTTGCAACATGTGCGTGGACTTAATAACGGTTGGACATTGGTAACTTATTAGTTCCCTTAGTACAACAACCACGGGAAAGAAAGGAGTGGCCCATTTTATGCCGAAACCACATGGCAAATTCTTCATTAACTCCTCTTACAATTGGCCAACCGACCAGCTTTCATTTCTCACCTATCATCCCTTACTGGGTACCCGGTCAGTATATACCGATAGCGAAGGTAGGTTTGCCATTACATTCGATATATATTCGAAAGGAATTAAAAAAAATAATATTTTAGTCCAAAAATAATGAACGAATTCATTTTGAAAATTTGTCTAATGATTAAAAGGTTATATTAAAAAAAAATAAGAAAATGGAATAAGAAAGACTCTTCCAAGGAATATCATGTACAATATTTTATATATCATCTTCTTAGACATTCACTGTTGAACATTCTTGTCATTGATTTTAATATTGTATAATCAAGGACTGATAATTATTTTATGTATTTAATTAAACTTCAATGTACAATATGAAAATCCCCCATATGTAATTGTACATATGGGGGACTTAACACCTAACGGCGATTTCTACTAGTCAACAATGGGACAGAGTATTAAGTAGACGATGTATTTTCTATTTAAACAAATACAAATAAGTTATAATATCGATAACAAATATAACTACTATTTAAATAATAAAATTGTCAAGTCTGTCAAAATTGTCAATTTATATCTTCGGTTTTTTTCTATACGTACCTTTATTCTACCAGTGCCCAGTCTACGTTTAGCTAATGACGCCGCTTTATGAGACTCGTATTCCAAAAAACAAAATCCTCTATTTTTCTTCTTATCATCGGGCGAACTATATATTATAACCTCGACGAGTCCCGCTGAAATACATAACGCGAATAGAATGCATGAAGTAGTACAACAGCGCACTAACATTACACAAAGCTTCCCTCGACCCCGTCGCGCATTTCATTCCTTTATCGCTACAGAAATATGAAGCAACTCAAACGATATTCCAGGAGGACATATATACGGTACTGAAGAAGTCTAGTCTAGAGAACAACAGCGAGATTCTCCAGTCATTACCAGTGAGCATTCTCGAGGCGGAGCCAATCGGAGGGAAAAGTAAGTAGTGGCAAGCGGCGGGCGGCGCGCGCCGGCGGCGTCCGCGGCGGACGAACGCGCGCGGGCCACGAGCGATCGGCGGGCGATAGGCGAGCGATCGGCGGGCGATAGGCGAGCGATCGGCGGGCGATCAGCGAGCGAGCGCCGCGCGGGCGACGGGCCGGCGCGGCCGGGCGGCAGCTACCGGCGCGCGCCGCCGCTACCGCCGAATAGCACTTATTATGAATTCGACAAGGACTTACGTGCGTGCCTAGTAAACTCCTCAAACAAATCGTCCCGATCTCGATTCTTAGGGATATTCCCCACGAATAACCGGTGATTGTTAAAGGAAACGGTTACGCCAATCTTTTTCCCCTTTCGAATTTCATAATCATTCAGCTGCAAGAATAATTCGAGGGAGAATAGCCAACGGCCGGGCCGGGTCGCGCAGCGGCGGCCGCGTCCGGGCCCAATGACTGGAGACGGCGAGTGCGGGGAGGAGGGCGGGATGAGGACCAGGCGGGGACGGACCGGGGCCGGCCGGGGCGGCCGGGGCCGGGCCGGGACGGATGGATGGGGAGCAAGCGGGACGCAAGCGGGGCACCCTCAGCGGTCCACACCAAGCCCCACGCACTCAACCCACCAACTCTATTAACTCCTTAATTCATTCGAGTGAAACTTTACCTGTTAATTTACCAAACTCTTCCAGTATCTCCTCTTTGCCTTTAGACTTGGGAATGTTGCCGACGAAAAGTCGAAGGTTCGGTACGCTAATCTTAATTCTCAGAGTCTTCCCAGGTTTTATTTCGTGATTATCGAGCTGTGGGAAAAATAACAAGGGAAAAATTTTGAAAAAAACATCTCTTTGGTCCCGATGGGGGCGACGGCGGCCAGGCAACGGCTCGCCGGTGGGCCATGAATTTTGACAGGTCTCAATGAATTTGGAAGGTTACGATGAGGCAGTATAGAGAACCGCGACGTTGCAGCTCGATCCGAGTGAACGGTGATGACGGTTAGAGCCAATCGTGATGAGTTAACTGAATTTTTGATGATAAGCCAAAGTGTTGTACTGAGCAAAGAGGAGAGCCTGAGATATATTAAATTCTCAGCTGGAGAACTTTTCGAAGCCAATTCAAAGTTAACCCTGTAAGTGGACCGTTTGATGAAGTGAAAATAAAAAGAAGCAAGTACAAGTGTGATGGTAACAAAAAAAAAATTAAAGCAACTTAAAATTGAACGAGGTGCAACAGTAAGAATGGGATGATATCTCAGGATAAGCGAGGCTAGATCATTATGGGTGTTATGTTTGCACATTTACACAAATTCAGTGATTATATTGGACAGCGGTTGCTTGCATACAACACTCACAATGAGCTACAAGTGGACATTTTAAATTTTAACCATGTTTTACACAAAAATGTGTACAGTAAGTATAGAGCAATTAACTTTGTATTATTCATTACCGTTTGTATGCAATCAGACGCTATCAAGAGGATATTAATAAAAATTCATGCTATTTAAATGACAGAAGAAGCTTAAATCTATATCTCCCAAGTGTGACTGTGAATATATTCGACAGGCAAATGATTGGGACTTGCAAAAATACTGGCGGATGACAACTAGCAAGTAGTCTTGCAAGTGATTCTGGTTTGGCGACTTCCATTCGGGAAACAATTAATTAATAGGAGTATATTACAAGGTGAAGGCAATATAGACCTAGTGTGCACCACCCGTAGGTATTTTATCGTGCGACGGAAGTCGCTAAACCATCGTAAACTAAGTGCTGTGATTTTTTCAAGGGGTTTATACTTAAACATTCGGCGAGTCACCTGGAAAGTAGATGTCAAATTAGAATAAATTTTGTTTCAAATTAATACACCAATTAAACATTGAAATTGCAACAGATATCCATGATGTGAAAGCTTTAGAGTTTTGACACAATTTAGTGTTACCAATTCAAATTGACCGATAAGGAACGACTGCATATACTGGTCTGGTCTGGTGATAACACACTGTGCTGAATGTCGGCCGTTACAGATGTGCTCGATAACATCCATGTGTTGGCAAAATTGGTGCCCGGCATTGCCCGTTTTTAGGTCACACGTTTGCCAATCTTCAAGGTTGGACAGAGCGGGCGATGACCTCTGGCACCAATTTTTGATCAAATATTTGTTCAACAACTCTACTGCTTATCCACGGTTGTTGCTATATTCTCAGGAGTGGTCACGCGTCACTCGTAAATGTGAAACAAATAAGATAAATTCAGGACCCGACGGAGGGTTTTAATGTTTAAATTAACTCTCAATTGACTGGATCGCTCAATTGAATCAAGACAAATCTAGACCAATTTAACAGTTCCAAAATAGTGCGTTAGGAAAATTTTATTGTCCAAGTATGCGCTTCACCACTCCATTGACTATAGCACAACTGTGCACAGTTTCCAGCGCCGCGATTTTCAAATTACACCAATTGTTTTTGAGCGTTTATAATTTTAATTCCAAAACGATTGAAGAATGTTACCTACTAGAGAACTCTAAGTCTTTATATTGAAATTTGACGTCTGCACGAATGATTATTTAAAAAGTGGTTTACTATTTGGTTTGATAGTTATAAAAAAATCATATGACTTTTTACCATCGAATCTCAAAATTTCTCACTCAATAGAAAATCTAATTTAATACAAATTAAATAAGATGTGAGTAATTGTTTAATCTTTGAATTTTGTCAATTAATACAGTTACTTTAGTATACTCAAAGCCTTTTAGATCTATCATTATAAAAAATATTTCGCAACAACCAGATATTTGAACACAAGTTATGGCATCCATTCTGCAATCGTTTTTAGCGTACGTCGGAAACCAACAACATTGATATAATGAGAGCGTAGACAACCCGCGGCCGTTCTCACCTCTTGCACAGCCCGTTGCGTCGCGTCCCTCGTTGTGAACGTAACGAACGCGTAACCACGGTTGGTCCCCGTCATGGGGTCCATCATGAGCCGCAGATCCCAAATGGTCCCGCAGCGCTCGAATAGCGGTATCAACTCGTCCTCATACATATCCTTGGGGATCTTGCCGCAAAACACCTCGCAGCCGGCGCCGGGTGTACCGCCCTCCCAGCCCGGCGGCGGGCCCCCGTACTTGCGCTGCCCTGCAACACGTTAAGTGCCCAAATCTCGCTTTAATTGAAATCAACGATCAATGTCTTCATACATATGTAAAGAATGTATATCAATCCGACATTCTAGTGTATATGATACGTCGTCAACCATGTGAGAATTAGTAAAGTTATGCTATAAATATCACAGAGGCCATATTATGAGTTCGGTGAAATGGGCTCCTTCATTTTTACCTTTCTATCAATCAATTTAAAGTATAAATAGGATATATAATTACTATCGACACTCTAACAACGACTACCGAACAACTTATTACCCATCTTCAAAGTTTGCCTACTCTACTATTTGGTCCTTCGAACCGGACTTTTTAAAAATTTCAATAAAATGTTTTTGTTTATTAGTTTATACCTTGTATTAAATAAAACATTACCAAAATTCACATGTAATGTAACAGGAATGCCATACCGACCCTAAATCTAATGATAGCATTTGAAAATATAATTTTTAAAACACAATAAGAAATCTTCCTATTAGAACATCATATATACGAAAATTCTAATTAGATTAGTATTATAAAAATTTTGGTCTTGTTAGAATAATAATAGTAATTTATTTGTAAACGAATTTCATATATTAAATGAGTTTCTGAAAAATAATAAAACAAAAAGAAAAAGCCGTCAATCGTTTCACAATTAAAATAAATATCAGTAGATATATACTAGACAGCGCCATCTACAACCAAACTAAACATAGAAGTTGTATGTAAATTATAAGTACCAGTCCATTAATGTACCTATGTACATAGAAATATACCAAGATTAAAAGACAATAGAAATGTTCGCATTGTGCGAGAATCGAACCCTAGTGATATGGCAGCCCATATCAATTTTTGAATTATCCAAAAAATAGAGACTTAACATATTCTAAAATAGATATACGACCGATATGAGCGATATAGAAATGGATGATAATTTTTGGATGATTTTTTTCGTCATCAATGTTCAGCGGTACCCAATATATAGATATCGGATCGGTATCCATATTACCACCTATGAAGCACAGCCCCTTACTGGCAAATGACAATGGTACTAACCTGTAGTTACATCTAATGTATACCCAGTTCTGGCTAGGATCTGTTTAATTTTCTCTTCATCTGGGCCTTTGACCTGGACAGCTGTCGACAGCGCGGGCGCACCCTGCACGCCCGCTCTGCTTTTCTGTCTGGAAGATGAAAAAAATATCGATGACCAGTTGCAGCTTGCGAATTTCTTTGCGTGATTTTTTGATAAATGGCAACTTCGTCTGTGCTAGTGGTTTACACTGGCGGGGCACCAGTGAGGAATGATAGGTCAAAGTCAGGTTAGATGGCATATCGTGTCGAATCCACCAGGAATTGTCTACGACAGTTTCCAGTAAGGATAACATGGAGGTCGATCTGTCAATTATTGCTGTGTGATTACTAGTCCTCGACACTAATAATTTTTCCCTCCCCTTCCCCTGTTCAGTTAATTGAGGTTAGTAATTATAGTTTAAAATTGACTATTTGTTATTCAAAATATACTAGTAGTTCATTTGAATTACAGCTTGAGTCGAGTGTTCACATGATTAGATAGCAGTAACCATCACCTATATACGCTATTATGGACCACGAACATCACTTAAATGCACATAAGTTTACCACCAAAAAAGATGGTGCAATACCTATGTTGAGTTTAAATTTTTTTCGTATAAAATGAAATTTTCAGTGATAAACAGAATTTTATTATGATTAACTTCTATCTAACATTTTTTTTTTTAATTCAATTAGAAATAGTTTTATTTTTTAATTGGCAGAAAAATTAGACGTATTAGCCTCCAACTTGCTGGAGTTTCGTCGAATGACAACAGAGTGTTTATGTTTAGATATGTAAGACAAATGTTATTTCTATTATTGTTGTGTGGTTGTATAGTATTTTAATATCATAAAAATTATTTATTTTAATTATAATTGTAAAGTATGTGTTATGGTGCTGATGCTTTCATGGGTGAGCACATTGCAAGACTGTAAAGCATATTCAGTGGATGAAATAAATATTCCGACGGTTCTACGCTTCGATATCAACACTCTTGATAACAACAAAACAAAGAGTTATTAGGCGATAGAATGTATATCAAAAGAAGTTAATTTAAATGTAAACAAACGAATTATTTACATAATAATTTAATATAAATATTGATAAGACAATCAGCTAAGGTCCAAAAGTAGTACAAATAAGAAATCGATAAATGGTTTCCATTTGTTACCAATTGCATTTAGCACTTTAAATATTTCTGTGATAGAATCGACAAAATTTGATTGCATTTTATATTGTATTGAAACAAAACGTATTGCATTTAATGCAGTCTTCATACAAGACGACATCACGCGCTCGGCAGGGTCATTGCAACTTATAATTCTCGTAAACGTGACGAGCCCGGGGGTAACGGCCTACGGTAATCTAATCTAGCGACACAAACGACACTGCAAGCTACGCAGTTATGCACATAATATTGCAATATGTTGCGCTTTTCCCTATAAGATCGGATCCACACTATAATACCGGTCCCGTTTCTCTCTTGTTCCAATTTCGATCTGGTAAAATGTTATTTATAATCACTAAGTGGTCCCGGCATATAATGGTAGGTATCGTAAGAGAGGACTAAATTAACTTAATGGTCGATTGATGGGCAGCGGCGGCCCTCTTAAAACATCACCAACAGGCCTAACTTCGGTTGCCAAGCGTGGCAACTATTGGCAAATTCCCCTCAATAGGAAGAGGCCTATGTATAGTAGTAATCAATTAACGGCTAAATCATCATCATCATTAAAATATTATTACGCAAGAAACAATGTGTATATTCATACTGCAGTTCATCCCCGTTCATTGTTACTGCTGACAAAAAACGAATTGAGAAGTATTATAGTGTAGATCCGGCATAAATGCTTATATATCAAAGCAAAGTTTAAAATCATAACGTGTCCATTCTATGCCGCAAATTACAAAATAACTAGGTATTCGATTTATCTGCTTATTTATTTATATAGCACGATATATTATACCTATATATGATTATATTTATATTCCCAAAGAGGGTTGACGTCAGGCAGGTGGCCGGTCGTAAAACTAAAAACCAAATCTTTTTGTAATATGAATAAAATCATATTACGCCGACCCCAAATGATTGGGATAAGGGTAGGAAGATGATGATATGATTATATTTACCTTGTTCAAATAAGTCGAAGTATTTATAGGATTACGGGCAAGAAATGGTCATTTCTTCGGCCAACATGGTTTTTATTATTTACTGACTATTTCCCGTGGCTTTGTCCGTGTGAATCAGTAAATAAAGCATGCATATCCTAACTTACTTACCTGTATACCAAATTACATTCAAATCTCTTTAATAGTATTTGCATGAAACATACATACATCCATTCTTACAAATTTACACATTTATAATATAAAGATAAACAGGTAATGGTCGAGGTAGTGCGACCAGCATCCTTGTAACACTGCCGCATAGAGCAATGTTTAATTTTAGATTTAACTTTATTCGTATCTGTATTTTTTTTATTTTAGTTCTTTTTTAAATAATTATTAAAGGGCGTATCTTAAACACGTATTCCATTCCATATTCGAAATATCCAAGGTCAGACAAAAACGTGATTATAAGAGTCGAGGTTTTATTAATATAATTTTTTTATTACTTGTCTCTTTATATCACTGCTAGTGCTACGAAACGCATAGTAATAATGTGAACACAAAACACGCTGCAGTACGTATGTAACTTAATACTTTACGATTTCAAATGCAATTTCAAATATGCAAATGCTCAGAACTTCATAATACGAAATTTAAGATTCACTGCACAAGAAAAATACAATGTATGCATAAATAATGTAAATTTAAATCCGTTTGTTGTTTGTTTCTTTCATCGTCTTAATTTTATATCATAAATTTACCAGAGGGATTTAAAACATCCGCTTTACAGGAATCATAAAAAAATGCCACTTGACACTTATTTTACGAGTATTTGAGACTAGCCGTTTCCTGCGGTTGAGGCGGGCAAGCCTGAATCAGTATATAAAATCTGTCATGTGCTATGTTAGGATATATCCTAACCTGCCCGTTTTGACGTAATTGAGTAACAAATTAACAGCTTTACAAACTTTCACATTTATAATATTACCAGAGGGAGACTTTGTACAAAAGTCGTTTGCTTGAATACCTCTGTCCCATTAGTGTTTCAACCGTAAAGCAGTTGTGTTTGCATGGCTGTGTTTCGGTTTGAAGAGTGGGATATGGCGTGAATTTACAGGGTACAGAGGAATAACACCTGAGTCCTCAGGAATGGTAACGCATGAGAGGTATCATGGGCGAAACAGTATACTCTGTTATGTCCATGATACTGCTCATGTCTATAGGCGACGGTTACCACTTTCCATCAGTTGGGCCGTCAGCTTGTTTGCCATTCTAAGTTGTATAAAAAAAAGGATGCACAGCAATATATCTTGTCAGGTCGACCTCCACATGCTGTCTTATGTCTAATACAACATATAAATATCAGATCGGCATAACAGAATGGGAAGAAGAAGAATAGAGAGAACATGTCATTAATTTGGTATACTATCCATAACAATCCTATGTAAGTTGGCTGGATTAACAATAAGACCAAATGATTTATCAGACAGATGACGATTGTAAAGTGGTTAATTTAACCCTCAGATTAAATAATAATCTTAATTATATAGTTTACAATCCTTTTATGTTAATTATTCGTTTAAATTATTGTTTGCTTGAGAGCTGGTTTAGAAATTACAGTAAAGCTGAGGTTTAATTCAATTATACTTTAATTGAATATCAAGTGTTATGTAGGATTACAGTGATAAACAGACAAATTACCAGAGGGAGACTTTGCACAAAAGTCGTTTGCTTGGGCACCTCTGTCCCATTCGTGTTTCTACCGTGTTATGTCTATGATGTTGGTCATGTCTATATGCGACGTTTACCAGTTTCCATCAGGTGGGTATTCAGCTTGTTTGCCATTCTAAGTTGCATAAAAAATATCGGTCTCCTATCTAGACACGACTTTATTATAGTGCTAATATTAAAAAGCGGTGAACTGTGATGAAGACAGATTTTAACACAATGTAGATACAAATAAAAGTTGTAAATTAAACATTCTAAAAGTAAATCTGTATAAAAAAGTATATAATAAGATGTTTGCATCGGTCGGTCGCCAACAACTATCCCATCGTATAAAATTTTTCATCAGCAATTTTATAGGAGTTATTTTTAAATACACTCTTAATTATGCAAAATATTATCACATAATTATGAAGAATTTACGCAAAATTTCATGATTCTGGACCCAACAATTTTGGCAGTAATGTTTTATCTATCAGACTATTGAAAACTACCATGAGCCAACAAGTAATATAAATCGAAAATGACATATTAGACCGAACAAGTAATTAAAGTCGTTATTTTAACATAATACCAGTACACAATGGGCTTTTCATCCCATTTTTACCTATTTGTATCTAATTATTTGTAATTTATCACCATTCTATGCGGCTACAAGTAAAGATTTCTCGAGAAACATTCGCAAGCCTAATGACACATTCGCGTCAAAGGAGATCAGATGGAAAAAAAACCAAAGCATACTTTAAACAATCCCGAAAAAAGTAAACCCATTAAAATTATGTCGTTAACTGAAAAATTTAAACAGACCATTAACAAAAAAAAACACGTCGAATCAATTTTCCAAATCGCGACCCAGATCGAACAGACTGCAGTAAGGCAGTTGGCACATTGCCAAACTTGTTGTTGTTGCCAAGTGAAAAAAAAATTAAAAAAATAATAAACTCACCTATAGGTCTTCATGACTCCACACAAATAAGCACTTTTATTAGATACATGCTCGAGATTTGAATCTAAAAACTGTCCAAGTACACTTAAAGCACCGTCGGATGGAAATTCTTTTAAGGCGTCTAACGCACGCTCATCCAATTCTGCGTGCGCTAGCTTTCCAGTCTTATAAATGTCGTCCAGCTTGGCGGCCACCTGAAAGTCATGGAGTAACAAGTTAATAACACCTTACTCATTGCAGAAGCAATAATAATAATAAACAATGATACCGATTGCCTGGTCTTCAAGTTAGGATACTGTGTTACAAGAGACCAGGCAACGGACGTCTAGAGGCGTAACCCAGAATATTCAACACCTGTTATACAACAGTTCTAGAGAAATTAGACAGTATAATCACACACTGTTGTCACAGTTCCTTTTATATCTACAGACAATATCATATCTAATTTAATTATCGATTAATGTATTTTTAAATCTATCAAATCTCGTATGACGCAGAATTCTGCACGATGCTGTTGCACATATTACAATAGCTAAAATATTTACTTTTTTACTTGTCAATCATGTACCGCACTTAAATTCAGTAATTTAGAGGTTTTTTTCAGAACTGACGGAAAAGTAGTAAATCCTATAACATTCGAAGATGCCACAATTAACAGATTTCCGTTTATTTATTTTATTTTTTCATACCGAACTATAAAGTCAATATAACAACACGTTCTTAATTCACGTTCGTTAACACACGTTCGTTTGCTGATTAGTTTCTAGTTCCTACAAGTAAATAAATAATATAGACACTCATAATGTAAGTGTCTATACTATTTAGATATACAAAATCAGTTAAATTGATTTAAAAACTAAACTACTGAACTGAATTTGTTAAAATTTTTATGGGAACAATTTGTAAAGATATCCTTTTAGACAAAAAAAAATAATTTTCTAAATTGGTTTACAACTGACAGTTATTATATATAACCTATTATTATTGTTAGATATTATACCTATTTTTTTGTTAGGTATTATATATTATAATACCTAACAAAAAAAAACAACCGAACAGAAAACCTCAATCTATTTGATCCCAGTTAAAAATATCTAGATTCTAGGTAAATTTATAAATTAATTGTACCTAAATAAAGGTATATTTTGTTTAATAATAATTAGGTATCTATTTTATTAATATAATAGTAACCCGACAATGTTTGTACATGGGGAAAAAAGAAAAAAATATATCAAGAGTCTCAACAAGAGCAACAGAAGGCAAAACAATAAATGGAAATTTTGCCTGTCTGATAAACTTGTTGCGGCATGACGCAAAAATTACTGCACAAAATCGGAAGCTATTTTAACTGTTATATTCCGGTAGGTATAACCTTATATTTTATTTCGATACGCCTTCTAAATCATGTAATCTTTTAGAAGAGACAAAAAAAAATATAGAGTATCTATCTATCTAAAAGTGTTCTATTTCTTTATTTTTCCCACTTCAGAAAACATGCGTACGAAGTAAAGAGCATAATATTTGTAATAAATTTAAAATACAAAATATGTAGTAGTATCAAAATATTTTGCTGTAGATTTAAGTGCATAAAGTCCTATAATTAACACCTTAATTCAACTATCACAGTAGCTTAAATAAAACCATTTGAAAATATTAAAAACTGCCTAACAAACACAAGCAAATAGGCAGCCAATATAGACATGGCTGTAGGTAAAACGAAGATCAAACTCTGAGACAAAGATTAGAGACACATACGCACATGAAATACAGAGCTACAAAGATATTTATGACTAAACACTGATTGTAGCGGTCGAAAGGTATGTGATGAACTGAACTGCTTCAAAGAACAATGAATTTATTGAGATGAAAGTCACATACGAACAGAGATGTCAAACATAACATATCAAACAAAAAGTTTAAGTATATTAAAAAATTATCAAATAAAAAAATATGATTGCCCAATTTGCCTGCAAAAATGTATATTGACCAAATCCACACGTTGATCAGGAGGTGACTGTTTTTAAGCGACTTTCAAAAGAGACGTTTCTCTATTCCTGCCAATTCTGAAACTATTTTAATAAATTGAATGAATGAATGAATGAGTATACTTTATTTGCATTATACAATATAGGAAATAAGCAAGGCAAATTACAAACACAACGATACAATTGTATAAGTACAGTAAGGCGGTCTTATTGCTGAGAGCAATCTTTTCAAGACAACCTTAAGGTAATGGACTAATTATTGTTTTACTTTTTTAATTTTATTATATATATATATATATATATATATATATATATATATATATATATATATATAATAAGTTTCTTTATTATAATTCTTAATATATGATAGTGCATATTTCTTTATAGTTTTTTTTCTTTCTTTCTTTCTAATTATTGTACAAATAAGTATGATAGTGCTTTATAATTAAAAAACCATCTTTTGCTATCTAAATTAATAGTTTCCAAACGTGTTGATCGATTTAAAAAAATCTTTCAATCCAATATATTTACGAAACATCTCGTCATTTATTCGTGTGTATTTTGTTAAAGTACATTTAACTGTGAATAAAAATAACTCGGCCAATAAATAAAAAAAAATAATAATGAAAACTTGATGAATGTCGTTTGAACATTCCAAAGACATCAGACATGGCAGTGTAAAATATTTCCATGTGAAGCCAGACGAAATAGTTCAAGAATTTCTCAGTGCAAAAGTAAAATGAAGCCAACGGATGACGAACGACAATGGGGATGAGAAATAATGCAGAAAATAATACAAGTTAAATAGTTATATAAGAACACATCTATCATTATGTTTATATATAATATATTAAATATATGTATTTTGTATATATTTATAATATTGTTCGGTATGATATTATGTTAGTTTATATTAATGAATTTTATTTTTTGTTTGACGTATATTCACCCCCACTGCTCTCAAACGCTTTTTCTTTTTAGTAATGGTTAGTGAATAGAGTATGATATAGGGCGTAAAGCTTTCCATTTGTACAAATTTAATTGTACAGTAAAAAATAAATAAATAAATGTCACCTCAATCGTCTACATTGTTTAGAATCGTTGAAATTCTTTTTGAATAGAGATTTAAGAAATTATGTTCAATAAGCATATGATTTCAAAGCGCAACAGAAACTAATACAATAAACAAGTACAGTAGTAACTTTAAATATTTGTTTTCAATTACCCCCACTTATTATATTATATATTTAATATATTCTTGTTGGATACTTGGAGTCCTTCCACAGGGAAAGGACTGTTTCAGTTAGACCTAATACTACCAAGTCCGTTATCGTCAGTCCTTATTGTGGTAATACAGGGAGTATTACCACAATAAGGACTGACGATAAAAAAAAAAAAAACATGATACTAAATATTTACTTTCCTAAACTTAGTTATGAGAATTGAAAATTGCAAAATTTTACTAAATATAAATTGACATCACTCTTAATCATTCACAAAAAAAGTACATTCCAGCGATCGGGTCGACTCGGCTATGTTCGTACCGTTTCGTACCTGGACAATTACTGATGAATTATTTTAGCGGCTCGATCAATCGTCATGAAATTAGGTACACAAATGTTTTTAGGAATGGAGAAGGGAGCCTATTTATTTTTTAACCTCGTTAATTTACATATTTCGGTGAAGCAAACTAAGGTGCAATTAATACTGCATAATTACTTAACAATAACAGAGGTAGGCCTATGTCCAGCAGTGGACGGATAATGGCTGAAATAAGGGGGGAGAGGAGATTGGTAGTAATAGGAATTAACAATCCCATTACTAGCAAAATACTCTTTCAGGTCAACCTCCACGCGGCTCCAGGGGAAACTATTATAGTTGATATATTGTTAGTCACGACAAGCCAACTGACCTGCTGCATTCTCACCTATCATCTTTCACTGGTGCCTTGCCAATGTATACCGTTAGCGCAGGCAGGGTTACCATCTAATTATCATTGATTTAAAAAAAATGGCTGAAATGATGATGATGATTAAGGCAACCAAATAATAAATCCATCATAACATTTCATCAAATAATAAATGTCTTGAAACTAATACTAGAGTATTTATCGTTATAATTTTTATTATTTTTTATCTCTCTTTGTATTGTACAAATTTTGTTATGAAATAAATATTTTTTCCTTTTATTTTTTTTACTGTTTGGTTGCACAGTTCATGCGATACTTTAAAAAAAGTAATTCAGGGAGTTCAAAGCTTGAGGGCCTACCATGAAATGTTTTCCGAAATTTCGGAGCCAAACGAAACAGAAATTTGATGTTAGAATTACATAATACATGGCGTTTGGAAATATCAAAAATGTTAAAATATTGTTACTTTTGATTTTTATGATAGGATGTATGACGAAAGAAACGTTAAAGTCCATTTATTGGTCCGATTTTGGTATAAACAAAAACACGAAATTGAGTCCGAAATTTCGGAATTTCATTTCATGGTAGACCTGTTGCTTCGAATATATTCATAAGGGCGAATTCTGTGTGCAGTGTGACACAGTGTCACCATATTTAACACAGTGGAACGACGCCGATTCAAATATAGCAAAAATACATTTAACTAACTACTAAGATAAGAAGTGGATACAACAATAATCATCACTGCACTCCCATAATGAGTTTGAGAGATACATGAATCACGTTCGATATCTTATCACATCGAGCCCCACTATGTACACGCCCCTATAACATATATCCGTGCCAACAAACGTATTGTGGGGAATGGAAACTTTAAAGAGCTACAGTTAAACAGGTCTTTATTGGAAATACCCGGTAGGCCGATTGTTTCTAATACGTGCCATTTTCTAGCGAGCCTCATTGATGTTGTACAATTTTTCCACCAGCGGGCGCTAGGCTACTCAACAGAATTTATAAACAAAGTAATTTTATTATTTAAAAGAATATACATATATGAAAAAATTTTGCTACTATAATTAATAAGAAAGTTAGTGAAAGTAGAGGTACATGGATGAATGTTTGTTACTCTACCATGCAAGAACTACTAAACAGGTTTGAATGAAATTTGGTACACGGATAGGTTATATTATAACTTTGTATACTGATTCACGCGGGCAAACCTGCGTAATAAAGCTAGTATAATAAATGACAATGGGACACTATTTTAGCTACGTCTGCATTACCTATTTTCAAAATCAAGTTCTCAATAGTTAAATAATATCTTTCCATTATTTTAATGACCAGCATACCTTTCATAATATCACCAAAGCCTAATTGCGGTTGCCAACGCGCCTGCCAAGCGTGGCAACTACTGGAAAAATCCCCCTTATAGAAGAGGCTAAGAAAGAAATGAAGGATTATTCGTCTGCAGACGTAGTTCTCTTTAGACAAAGGTAAATTTTGTATTTGATGTATTAAAATATTATATTTTAAGTTTAAAAGATTTGAGTTCTATAAACTTAAAAAATTCTCCCTTAAATCTCGTTAACAGAACAAAATTGTTTATTATACAGGTCCTGCTAAGAAAAGGTTCTTGTAAAAGCTTGTCTTTGTACCGGTCTGTACATAGAATTTAATGGAACAAAAAGTAGATAGACTATACATCTGATTTGTATCTATCTATACATGTATTTTATAATATATAATTGAGGATTGCATGTGGTTGCACTAGCGTGTTTAGGTATAGATGCAGTTTAGTGACAAATGGAAAAAAGTGCCACATATTATGTCTATTTATATGAAAGAAGAATTTTTAAAATAACTAAAAAATCAATGGACACTTTAATATTTTTTTATGGGTGAAAATGGTATAGTACCCCGCCCGCGCTAACGGGATACGCTGGCGGAGCACCAGTGAAGGATGATAGATGAGAATGAAAACAGGTCAGTTAGCCCATCATGAAGAATTCATCAGGAATTAACCATGATAGTTTCCAGGGAGAACCGCGAAGAGGTCGACCTGGTTGGGTATATTGCTAGCAATGGGATTCTCAGTCTCCATTACTAACAATCCCTTCCCCCCGCCCCCACTTTAATCAATTAGATAGACACATAAAATTCTGTATAATAATAATAATTTTTATTATATCTTATTTTTTAACATTTAACAAGGAACATTCAATTTGTTTTTTTTATTTGTTTTTATCGCCTTAGAAAAGTCAGTACATCTTTCGTGGGGAACTGTATACATTTTTATAATAAACTTCCAAATGACGTTTTACATTTAAGTGATAGAAAATTTAAAATATATATAAAAAGGACTCTCTGTACAAAAACATATTATAAAATAAATGACAATCTAAGTGGCAAAAATGCATGGATTTGAATATTGTAGTAATGTGGTATTGTAAATGTAATTATTGTATTTTTTTTTTAAATGAATATTATTTCATATAGTAATTATTATAATTATAAAGTGACGTATCATAAGAATCTGTAACAGATGTATGAGAATAAAGATGATTGATTGATTTATTTTTGGCAGCTATTGGCAAACCCCCCAAGGGGAAGCCCTATGTTCAGCAGTAGAAAGTTAACAGTTAATAAAATTTTATATGTATACTAACAAAATGTCCTAGTTTACCAGGGAAACAGCTAGCTATAGAAGCTAGCTGTTTCCCTATATATACGCTAGGTTTATTAAAAATATGGTATATGGACATTGTTTTAAAGCAATTTAAAAAAAGAAGGTTCCACGTCTGACGTTTTACGATTATGTTACACCACTACGTTGCAAATTCAGAATCGATTCAAAATTATTTTTATAATCGAGTGGGTTTCCAATAACAGAAGGTATTGGCCCCATATTTTGTGACGATTGACGATGCCGTAATTCTTTGCGGAACAAAAACTGCTTTTACCAAACAAAGTAAAAATTCGCTTATTTAAACACAAAATTCTGCGTTCTAAATTCAAATATTTCAATATCTACGAAATATCTCGTCGTTTATCGGGTGTAAGTGCATGTTTATGATTAAGACTCTTTTTTACCGAGCGAAACGACACTTCTTTAAATTTTTTTACACAAGTATTTTATACACTAATTAGCAACGAGTCTATAATAATTTTAATACGTAGAATACATTTATACATGTGTAGGTATTTCGAAAAAGACCGGCACCTGTATGCGTGTGGCAAGATAGATCAAAATGATAATGTCATAAGTGGTTATTGTTTACACAGTGCAGGTGTACATAGCAACAATGGGTACCTATTTTTCCACTTGCAAATATGTTCAGGTATCAACGAAGATAATTAAAGACAAAGGTCACCGGTATCGGAGTGAAAGTGACATAAATAAATGGGGTCATTACTGATTTATTGCAACTCGCAGGGTTGCCAGATCGACATGAATTTGGGGAAAGGGGGAGAGTGCTAAAATTTCGCGACAGACACGTCTTAAAGTTTTTTGTACACAGAGAACATAATAGTCTGTTATATAGGTTATATACCCATCTAGTTTTATGTATCCCTATTGAAATTCAACAAGCCACTTAAATTAACCTAATCTTATATATGCCTAGGGTTGCCATAAGGAAAATATATTCTATGTGGCAACTTTAAGCATGCAGTGTATCCCTTACAGGGAAGTTTGTTCAAACTCATGTACAATCTTAGTATTGTACTGTTGGATGTCCTGATAAGAAATGCATAAGTCACTGGCCTTTTTAAGTCACATTGCAACTAAATATAGTCTGTGTATTTATAACAGTAAATATGTACTTAAATAATTAGCTGATAATCAGTAAAGGTACTTTTATTTAATATAACTATAATGAATACTAATATTTTTGGTGTTTACTTTTTCCCTGTGACAACCCAGTGGCTGTCTTGGTTGAATACCTACAATTTAACATTTATGCATTGATGGATAATTATGTAAACTAAAATAATAAATAAAAATAGCAAAGTATTCATTATTTAACATGCTTATAGGATTTTTTGACATTTTACTCATATACATATATATTCCATGTATTCCAATAGGATTCTTATAAGATTTTCTTTAAACTTTATATACCTATACAATGGCAAAAGGTATTTTCTTATATGACAGTTTGTCTGTTTAGTTTTCATTACTGAACCAATTTTGATGATGTATACCTGTGGTATACCTTGAAGTTTAGGTAGGAAAGTACATAAGCTACATTTTAAAATAAATCCCTAAAAGAGTAAAATGAAGCTACAGCTAGTTACAGGACTTTGTGAACTAAAAAGTTTGAAAGTTAATTCTTTGTTATTTATGAACAGAATAAGGGCTAATCTTAAATAAAATAAACCAAAACTATTTAAGAAATATTACTATACTTATAGTTTTACTATAATTATAGTATATAAGTCTAGGTATTTAAATAACTAATCAGTAAGGAAAAATATATGAGTTCTTCTAATATTTAATATTATGTGACATTATTCTGTGACAATAAAATAAAATCTTATAATAGGAATAAGGAAAACAATAGGATTCATATCAATTCATTAATTAAAAGATAAGTAAAATTAAATAACAGTTTGCTACATGATAATACTATTGTTGCTAGGTGAATACTAATATCTACAATCTTATAAGAATCTTATAAGAATTTAATATTATTAATTTACCAAAATATATTTTAATAATAATAATAATAAAGACAATATTACATACAAATTTCACTTTAAAAACCTAAGCTAAACTATTTAAATAAATAGCTATAACTTTTTACTTCGTGCCATCATCATCATCTCGAACAACTCATATTAAATATCCAAAAATACTTATTTGTTTATATTTTATAAGTAAATTATATTTATTAAGAGTATTACAGAAGTATTAGTTTAATATTATAAAAAAAAACTGTAATTGTTTAAAAGGAATTTAAGTTTTAAACTTTCAGTAGTTCGGAGTAACATTGTTCATTATTAAGAGACTTCTGCTTTATAAATATGGATTGAATATAGTTTATCAAGTTCAAGCTATTCCTAAGTACAAAATACAGATGCTAGGCTCACCTTAGGATCCAAGCCATAGTCAATGAGTTTGCGGTAGTCTGGTGTACGGCCAACATCGGAGTCCTTCCCAGATACCTCTTCGATGGAAATTTCTCCATTGCCCTCCGCCATTCTGCACAAATGTTTCAACATGTTTATCACACACTGCACTGTCCTGTTTCAGTTGATATTTCACATTAAGATATTGAAAATCTTTATTTGCCTGTTCAAGTACAAATGTTTGGAAGTTTCAGTTAGCTGGCATACAGATGATGTCATCAAATTTCAAGAAAGCCACGCGTGTGAGTAATAATTTTTATGTGTAGGTAGGTTTAATATTAATAAAATAACCATACTAAATATACCTACAAAAATCGACATAAATAATTATATTTACCTTTTAATTTGTAATTTTTGTAATTTTGGAAGAAAATGATAACTCTCTAATCGTCCGAAAAACAAAAAAACAAATGATGTTCAAACATATGAAACTGTGAAACAATGGGATTGTGCACTCCTCATTCCATCCGGGTGAAGGTAAATTTCAAAAAGCGAATGCGCGGGTCATTGCATTCTTCTAGTGAAGTGACACAAATTTTCGTTTGATCCTAAAACGAAAATCGAAATTATGTAAAAAAAATATAACACGACACTAACTTAGAGGAGATGCGAATTCTGGCGGTCAATGACCGAAATAACACAGCAGAGTAAATTATGACAGCTCCTTATAAACTAATACACTTAACACTTTTAGTAAATAATCACTTTAAAACACTTTAACAATCCCTTTGTAACAGAATATATAACACTAGAAACTTTCCGCGCATAAAACTTTTGTGAATGCAAAACTGCAATAAGTTGAGAGTGCAACTGCATTGCACTCGATAAGAACCGGCCGGCGCGAGCCACAATTTCCAAAGAGAATCCAATTGGAATGGACCCAGAGATCAACTAAAGGTATAAAACACTATAATGCACAATCACTATTCAAAAATATTAACCAGGAGCACTGTACACTAAAATAATTACCTATTAATTTTGCTACTTGGTGGCCGAGACAGATATGGCGGCACCGCGCGACGTCAACGTGACCGCCAGTACGGGGTTCTCATAACGACGCGCGCGGGACATGCAACGAGGAGTGCATTCAAAGTTTTAAAAGGCACTTAATTTGTTTGTAAGAATTAAATAATCTCCCTGTTTCAAATATTAATTGAGACCGCATCGAAAGATAAGATAATAATATTTTTATTGCACAGAGAGGTTTTTTGCAAAGGTTGCGAATAATTTTGAATGGAAAAGAGCGCGGCGCGTCGCGCAAGGCTGCCGGCCGCGAGGTGAGACAGGCTAGCGGCAAGACGGCGGCGAGCGAGAAGCCGAGAGTGAAGGGGGGAGGGTGTTGCAACTGGCGGTGCAGGCGTGCAGCAGCGACGACGCCGCACCGAGCTCGCTGCATGCATACTTGCATGTACACGCACACTTGCAAACCCTTTGACCTTCGTTATTCGCAATCGATTCAATGTTCAGTTTCATCTTTTACAATTTTACTTTACAATTATCCATCAGCATCGTTCTCAATAACCTAAGCAGTTACCCACCTGCCTATGTATCTAGCTTAAAAAAACATTAAAAAAAGTTAAAAAATAATTTAACTTATAGAACTTACTCTATATAGATGAACCTACTAACTTCTAGTTGGAAAATAAATAAATCCAATTAACAATTTTTCACGAAGAAAAAACAATACCCATAAGAATAAAAAAAAAAAAAAAAATAGTAACCTGCCGGATTACAAACCGTATTAAAATTTTTTACCTTACATAATACTTAACTTCAAATTATAAATTATGTAAATCGAGAATAGATTGGTAGAATTAGATTTAGGTGTAACTGGTCAATTAAAAAAAATTAAACAAACACTGATATTTATCTATTCACCGTAAAGATCACACGGTTACTAATCGTCATCGTCCAATAGTAGAACAAGGTTCATTACTCTTTGATATGGAAACGAAGGGATAAAAGTCTTAATCGCAGTAACCCCTTGGTTTGGTTCGCTTACACCTGCTGATCATCGAAGCCGTATGTATTCGCGACACACAAATACCTATTTTAAAAACTGGCTTCATGTGTAAGTATGTGTAAGTAACTTGGATCTGTATCCGCCGCATTATGTGGGTAGGTAGGGCGGCTACTGCGAGTGCCTTGTTTTATGTCGACATGGTTCCAACTCGGTCTTTTTATTAATATGAATCTTACACGAGAATACTGTCAAGTCGCGTTTCGAATAACATACCTACAAAAACTCTTCCTTTCTTTTAAACAACTCGTATAGTGTTAGTAGCGACACGACAATCACACTTCCTTTCTCACATTTCTTTCATGGAGCTATTAACATTAAAATACCAACTGCAATTAATTTTATTCTAGCTAAAAGAACTCTCGCCAACATTCCAGTGATAGAAATAGATTCCTTTAAACACCATCTTTCCACTTTCGTAGAAAGTTACTATAATAATTAGAAAAAAAAAACTAAGTTGTTACAAACAGTTAAAAAGTAATAGGCACATCACTATTTATTGAACTGATCAGTCACTCGCTTCGTTCGAATATATCAATGGAAATGTCAAAATAGTGTCAAATTGTCATTTTTCTAATTTTTCTTTTTTAAAATAAATGTAAAATTTTTAAAAGTTTTTTATTAGCTAATTTTATAAACCTTTTTAGTTCTAGTCGAATATACACATAGGTTCCTACGTACAAAATACTTAAGTACGTATAAATCAAGTTATTTTGATTTGCAGTTATTCAAACAATAAGGGTTTAAATAAAATGTAATAATCACTCAAATTATCCTACTATTCCAAATCATAAAAAAACATGTAGTTGACGAGAAATAACTTTTTTTTAATTTGAATAATGTGTACTTCTAAGAACATGTGAAAACAAATAACCTATATCACAGAAAGTAATATAGACGTCGAAAAACCTTCACTTACCATTCTTGGTCCGAGACCTGAGACCTTAGGAAAAGGCACGAATCATCCGTCACGGACACACACGTCTATAAATAACCATTTTGCAAACATACATAGCGAGCCACTCCGCTCGCCGCACCGCGCACTACATTTGCGATTATGGTACTTTGTGCGTATTTTAGACACGTCAACAGTACATTGACCCGCGCCGATTCGCACCGTACACCGTACGTTGCTGAATTTATTGTGTCTGTAGATTTGTGGGTCACCGACTCACCGTACTAGCTGACGTCAAATTAGGGGCCCAGGCCGGTGACGTCATCTTATCAAATTAAACTAGTCTCCCATTCTAGTTCTAGTTTATTATCATATTCACAAAACGTGTACTATCCAAATACAATACTCGCCCTAATTTGACCTGTGCGAGCTCGAGTAAAGGTCATAGCTCATTTAACTACACTAAAATGCCATAGTAACAGCTTCTCTCAAATAAATATTTAAATGTAACCCACATTTATACATTATCTATTTTATATCAATGAATTATTTCTAAACAATGAGACAAACAACGTGCATACGGCTCGCCTAATGGAGCAGCTACCCCGCATTTGAAGGCTATGTTTATATGAGACATCACTCGGTTTGACCAACACTTGTTATGTGAAGGTGAATTTTTTAATTTTATTTGGATATTCGTTACTTGAAAATGACTAAACATATTTAAAAGAAATTTGGTACATAGATAGACCATATCTTAGATTAACTCATAGAATTATTCTTCTTCAGGTAATGCTACGGAGTACAGCTAATTATTAATGACTTCATAAATGGAATGAGCGAATCTAATCTTTTTTAATAGGGGAGTGATTGTTAGCAATGCGTACTACCAGTTCCATTGCTAGCAATATATCTTCTCAGGTCGACCTCCGCGTGGTCCCCCCTGGAAATCATCGTGCTGAATCCCAGGTGTATTCATCACGATGGGCTAACTGACTTGCCTTTTCATTCTCACCTGTCATCCCTCTAGTGCCCTGCCATCGTATACCGTTAGAGCAGGCGGGATTGCCATTCCATTATCGTCCATTAAAAAAAAAAAAATAATTAATAGATAATAATGGAATACACTCCACTCCTGCCCTAACAGTATACGCCAACGGGTTTTCTTAATCTTAATTATAAATTGACGGCGTCAACACTAATATTATAAAGAGAAAAGACTTGACTGTTTGTTGTAATGGATACACTCAAAAACGACTCCCTTTGTGTGTTCTTCCGCTTGTATCACGAATTGTGTTCTGAGGATTTTTTTTTTATACAACTTAGAATGGTAAACAAGCTGACGGCCCACCTGATGGAAAGTGGTAACCGTCGCCTATAGACATGAGCAGTACCATGGACATAACAGAGTATACTGTTTCGCCCATGATAACCCTCCATGTTGCCATTCATGAGGACTTAGGTGTTATCCTCTGTACCCAGTAAATTCACGCCATATTCCACCCTTCAAACCGAAACACAGTCATACATACACAACTCCTTTAGGGTTGAAACACGAATGGTACAGAGGTACCCAAGCAATCGACTTTTGTACAAAGTCTCCCTCTGGTAAAATTATTTGAAATGATGCCTACAGCCACCTTTTATCATCGCACTGCTCGCCATCGACAGGCAATTCATCCTCACACGCTTGAACCTAAATGATCACGTACAGTGCGGTTTCAGAGAAATTTTCTCCCGCGAACACTTAGGCTGTGGAATAAGCTCCCTGCCGAGATTTTTCCTTGAGACAATAGTATGGGGTTCTTTATAAAGGCTGTATTAAGGTTTCTTCAGGGTCAGCAACGCGCACATTACATCCCTGATGCTGCTGTTCACCATCAAACAAGCTGTATGCTTGTTAGCCACCTTTGTGGTATAAAAAAAATACTCAACCGATTTCAAAATACTTTCACCTATGGAAAGCTATATTATCAGCCAGTAATATAGGCTATATATTATTTTCAAAAATTCTATCTACCTGTGTGAAACCAGGTTAATCATTTGTAATATATATTTTTGTTAATTTAAATTTGTAACAATTTCCAATATATCTTAGTTTTTTTTTTAATTCAACATTTAATTTCAACTTGTCACTCTTTACACTATTATACTATAAAAAAAAAAGAAAACAAATTGTACCCTTAACTTAATGCACTCTGGTTACCCTTGTATAGCACTAATCTGTCGCATAAACATGAGGTAAACAACGAATAGAGAAGTTCTGTACATAAATGAGCGATGACACTAAGTCATACGTAATAGTGATATTTGCGAGGACATTACTATTTTTTTTTTATAAATGAAAGGGTTAAGGGGACTTGCATCCAGAGCCGTAAATCATAGTTTTAATAAAAAGGTCAAGAACGTTGAAAATAGTTCGTATTATAATAATAATAATTTTAAAATACGATTTTTTTGTGGTATTAGCATAGAATATATAGATAGCCATGCCTTCCTTTTCTATGGATGTCGTAAGAGACGACTAAGGGAACTTAATGTTCGAGGGATAAGTAGCAACGTCCCTCTTAAGGCATCGTACAAATACAAATAGCTTTATTTTGTTTGAAAAATGGTATAAAAGATGGTATATAATATTTAAATATTGTTCACATTTTTCACCAGAATCTGGCGTACAAAATTTATTTAATTGTGCTACTATACTATGCTAATACTATTTTACTCAAATCATCATCAAAGCCTAACTGCGATTGCCCACCTGCTTGCGAATCGTGGCAACTACAAGGCTTATTTTAGCAATAGACAGTTTACGGCTGATATGATTAAGAGTAGGAATAACTGTCACAATATCACTTAAACATAATGTACATAGCATATGGGTGTCGTAAGAGGCGACTAAGTGAAGGCGAGGGATGGGTAGCAGCGTCCCTCTTAAAACATCTCTAAAGCCTAACTGCGGTTGACAATCCGCCTGCCAAGCGTGGCAACTACTGGCAAAACCCCTCAAGGGGGAGGTTTATGTTCAGCAGTGGACAGTTAAAGGCTGATATGATGATGAGGATAATATACATACCAATATATATTACTTAAATAAGTATTAGTTTAACAAAAATAATTCTATTTATTAATTTTATTTGGAACAACAAACAATTTTACAATTATTCATTACATCATCTAGAAGGAGATAGAAATATCTTAATTATTGTAAAACAAACACAGATATCATATTATTTACGACTCACTTTAGATCACTGCTAGGATTTTTTGTATGTATGTCGTATATTTTTTTTGTGACATAATGCACACACAAAAATACAAGGTACGTTATGCGGTATTCGCAGCCAAAGCCAATTCTAGTCCTACAGATTTCTATTATCCTAATGTATTTCATGTACTTTTGAATGACAAATAAACTTTAATAAAATTTGATAATCTTCGTCTATAGACAAGAT